CACACACACACACACACCTACACGCACTCATGCACGCACACAGTGGGGGGAGGATTCTTAATATTATTAGTGTCTTGCTTATAAACGGGTTAACTTTCCCAAGAGCTAATGTCTGCTGTCCTCAGCCCCCTGCCATGAGGTGACTAGTCCCTTTTCAATAGCCACTGCAAGCCACTGAGGCGAGTAGAGTGCTCATGACTCTATGTAACAACCTTACCCAGAACACGGACAGTGTTATAACACAGAAAGCCACCGATAGGCCATTGACAAACACATATTGCCATATGCCTGTCAAGTACCACATTCTCATAGCCTCGTTGTAAAAGGAGGGTGGTAGGAATATATGGGGGGGCAGGTGACACTGGGTTTGGGGGTTTTTCTAGGTGGTCTTCCTTAGAGCAGAGTTTAGAGGGGAAGTTTGCCAAACACCCTGCCATCCTCGTGCACCTTACCTGACATCCCGTCCTGCCTTGCAGACGCCCCCAAAGGCGTGGAGATCTTCCTCAGCTCCTCAGGAAGGAACATCCTCCCAGGGGATCTAGTCACACTCACCTGCCGGGTGAACAGCAGCTACCCCGACGTCAGTTCTGTGCAGTGGGCCAAGGATGGAGTGAGCCTCCCGGCTGACGGGCGTGTGCTGCAGCTCTCCTCAGCAACCTGGAATGATTCTGGGGTCTACACCTGTCAAGCGACGAATAACGTGGGCTCTCTGTTGTCGCCCCCGCTCAGCCTCCATGTCTTCAGTGAGTCCCGGATGAGGCTGAGGGGGGCCTGGGCCAGGACAGCACCAGAGGCTTGCACACCTCCTCACGGGGGCCTATCACGAGGGAAATGGCATGAAGAGCAGCAGATGACTCCAGGAGGCTCCTGCTACAAGGAGCAGGGGGCGGGGCGAGCGCAATATGGCGAGCGTGAAGCTGGCTGACTGTTTTCCAGACCGCTAAGGCTGTGTCCCATGCTGTTCTCGCAGTGGCCGAGGTCAAGATGAGCCCAGCGGGGCCCATATTGGAAAACGAGACCGTGACGCTGCTCTGCCACACCCCCAAGGAGGCACCCCAGGAGCTCCGCTACAGCTGGTACAAGAACAATGTTCTCCTGGAGGACGCCCACGCCCCCACTTTGCACCTGCGCGCGGTCACCAGGGCCGACACCGGCTTCTACGTCTGTGAGGTGCGGAACACCCAGGGCAGCGAGCGCTCCGGCCCAGTGAGCGTGGTGGTCAGACGTAAGTGGCCAGCGCGTGGAGCAGCAGCCACTACAAAGTGGGGCCAAGCGGGGGGGTGGAGTCCCCACAGGACAGTTGCGGTCTCTGGAACAGCAGCGTTCAGAGCCGTGGCCCAGATGGAGATGGCCCAAGCGGCCAGATGCGCTGGAATGCGTGCCCAGCTCTGCACCCTAACGAGGCTGGCCTTCCTAGGTTCCGTCTCCTACCTTAACCAGTGTTTTACTTAGAAGTAAGCTCAGACTTGTCTCGTTTGAACTGTTGACATCATGTTGCAGACACTGAATCCCATCTCTGTCGGTGCACATGGGCTGTGTTGCTTATTCCACACACATACAAGTGAACACACGCGCGTATACATATATATCATTACTCATTCCTTACACACGCACACGTGTTACTTACATGCCTTCCTATAGGTGCGTTTAGGATCATAATGGGGCTACATCACAGTGAGCTTTTCTCACACCTTTAACCCCAGCACTTAGGAAACAGAGACTGATGGATATCTGTGAGTTCTGGGCTAGCCAGGGCTATATAGTGAGATCCTCTGTCTCTGTCTCTCTCTCTCTCTCTCTCACACACACAGAAATTAAAGTTGAAAAGCATCTGCAACAGCCCAGGTACTGAATGCAAGAGTTTAGGTCAGTAAGCCTTGGACATACATGTGTCAGCCTTGCGTTAGCTACATTCGGGTCAAGCCAGCTAACACATGCCTACTTCACAACTGAGGACACAGCCTGTAATCTGGCATTGGGGAGGCTCAGGCAGAGGGATTGCTGGTTTGAGACCAGCCTGGTAACAAAGTGACAGCATAATTTGGGGTCCTGGCCTCCATTTTCAGTGTGGGCATGAGGGCTAGCCTCACTAACAGAGAGATTTGCCCCTCTAGAGGGTAGAGTATATTCAGCAAGTGCTCAGGAGGGTCTGAGATTGCCTTGTTCCGGGGTACGGTGGGGCAAAGGGAATGCCTAAGTTAGAGCAGAGGATCCAGAAAGTGACCTTTCTGAGGATGACAAGCCTCTGGTTCCCACACAGATCCACCCCTCACTCCAGACCTCACTTCCTTCTTGGAGACGCAGGCTGGATTCGTGGGTATCTTCCATTGCTCTGTGGCCAGTGAGCCCCTGGCTACGCTGGTGCTGTCACACGGAGGCCTCACCTTGGCCTCCAGCTCTGGAGAAAACGACTTCAACCCTCGATTCAGCATGTCCTCTGCCCCCAACTCCCTGCGCCTAGAGATCCGGGACTTGCAGCCAGCGGACAGCGGGGAATACACGTGTTCAGCCACCAACTCCCTTGGAAGCGCAACTTCCAGCCTGGACTTCCATGCTAACGGTAAAGTGGGCATGCGCTGCAGGGGCCACCAGTGAGGGAGTTCACAGAGGAGGCCTCCTTTCCCTAGCCACCCTAAGGACTCAACCGAGGAACCAAAGTCTGGCTAGGTCCCATGGAAGACCTGGGTTAGGCAGTCACTCCAACCTCAGGGATACCTGGAAGAGGAGGCAAAAGGGAAATGTAGTTGATCAAATGATTTCTCTCCCACATCTCTGACTCTGTACTTAGAGGGTCCCTTATAGGCACCCATTTATTTTTTGAGTTTTGGGGGCTGGGCCTTTGGTAAACATTAGATGTGGGAGAGCAGAGAAACAAGACCCTGCAGTCGCTGGTGCACACAGCCAGACTTTTGTTGTTGTGTTCCCACCGTGTCCGGTTTACGCAGTACTGGGGACCAAACCCTGGCCTTCCCCAATGGTACATGAGCACTCTACCAACTAGGCTATATCCCAGCCCACCAGCCAGGCTTTCCACTTAAGTCTGGCTTGATGTGACCTCAGCTTCAGTACAACTGAATTGGTGTTCAAGGCTAACTCCTCCTTGTCTGCCACAAAGCTCAAAGAGGCATGTGAAGAGAGGAGAAATCCAGAAGGCCTCCTGCAGCAGGAGGGCACAGAGGGCCGGGGCCCTCACAGCCTCCCAATGCCCGTTCTCTGTCCGTCCTCCAGTGGCCCGACTCCTCGTCAGCCCTTCAGCAGAGGTTGTGGAAGGGCAGGCCGTGACTCTGAGCTGCAAGAGTGGCCTGAGCCCAGCACCTGACACTCGCTTCTCCTGGTACCTGAACGGAGCTCTGATTCTCGAGGGATCCAGCAGCAGCCTCCTGCTTCCCGAGGCTTCCAGCACTGATGCTGGCTCATACTACTGTAGAGCGCAGGCTGGCCCCAACGCCAGTGCCCCCTCCCGGCCTACTGTCCTCACTGTGTTCTGTGAGTGGTCTTGGCTATTGGCCACTGCCCTGGGTGGGGTCATTCCACTGGGACCACCAGCCGCCCCCTTCTATATCCTCCTGACCCTGGGGTACACATCACAGAGGTCATAGGCCTTGCCACCATGGATCTAGGGTGGAAGTCGAGGGAATGAAGCGCGGTCCCCTTTATGTCCTGCCCTCTAGACCCAGCCTTTGCCCCTAAGCTGTATCATGGTTCTAGGCCCCAGCTTGTCCTCCCCCCAGATACCACACTTCAAAATGTGCATCGCAGGCTGACTAGCTCCTCTGTGTCCCCCGAGGGTGATACAACATATGAGCCCTAGGGGCTGATGCTACAAGGGTCACACTGGAGGGCCTCCCCTAGCAGGTGTGTTCAGGGCTCTTCTAATGCCTGCATGGGATTCTGTGGGAGCCAGGCTGCTAGCTCTCTTCTGACCATTTTTTGAGAGATCGATAGAAAGGAACCATTTTTTAAGCACAAGACCCTGGGCTCAATCCTAAAACCACTTGGTGACTCCTCTCAACTGGAGAGTGCTGTCCATCACGGCCATAGGATGGAGGCAGCTGGCCTGCAGTCAGGAGGCAGAGGTGGCTGAAAGCTGTTGCTCAGTTTGCTTTCTCCTTTTTTTTTTCTTTTGGTTTTTCCAGTCAGCGTTTCCCTGGCTGTCCTAGAACTCGCTCTGTACACCAGGCTGGCCTCAACCTACAGAAATCCACCTCTCTCTGCCTCTTGAGTGCTGGTTTTAAAGGCCTGCGCCACAGGCCTGGTTACTTTCTCCTTTTTAGTCAGTCTGGGACCCTGGCCCACAGAATGATGCCACCTTTAGGGAGGGTCATCCCGCCTCAATTAATCCAATCTAGAAACTTCACAGACATGCCCATGGGTTCACCTCCTAGACCACTCCAGATCCTTCAAGTTGCTAGCATTGACCGTCAAAACTGCCAAAACAACACCACTAGAGAGGCCATTTTAACTGTTAGCTAATATGCCAGGGTCTGGGTTGGGGAACAGATAAAGGTGGACAGAACTTTGAGGCATTGCTTAGTGACAGGAGTGTGGTAGATAGCAGTAGTCTTAGGGACCGCTCTGAAGGTGTTCTGCTTTAGAAGCAGATAGGACATTCAAAATGACTGATAGCCCATAGCTGACCCCGGCTGGAAAATGGCTCCCCTTCTGGGACACTCAGTTCAGCAGTAGGGCACAGTTTAGATTGAGGAGCATAGATGAATGCCAGTGTCGTCTGAGCGCCCTGTGCTGTGCCCACCCTACACAGTTGTTTGCAGCTGCTTGGTATGCTTCTTGGAGCCTAGACAAGCGGAAGTGGACCTGGGGCTCTAGCAATAGCCACGAGATGAGTGCCTAATGTTCTTGCTCCCCGTAGACCCCCCAAGAAAGCCCACATTCACTGCCAGACTGGATTTGGATGCCTCTGGAGCGGGGGCTGGACATCGTGGCCTCCTCTTGTGCCAGGTAGACAGCGATCCCCCAGCCCAGCTACGGCTTCTCCACAAAGGCCGTGTTGTGGCCACTTCTCTGCCGTCAAGTTGTGGGAGCTGCTCCCAGCACACAAAAGTCAGCAGAGCCTCCAACTCACTGCGTGTGGAGATCCAGGACCCAGTGTTAGAGGATGAGGGCGTGTACCTGTGTGAGGCTAGCAACACACTGGGCAACTCCTCTGCCTCAGCCATCTTCAATGCTAAGGGTAAGGAGCAGCGGTGGGGCCGAGGGAGCTGGGACCTGAGCTCAGACTACCCTTGCCTTGAGCAAATTGACCTTCGTGCATGATGGGAGGAGGCAGAGGGAGCCTCAGTGTTCCTCCCTCCACATGAAGGGAGAGGGACCATCCTCGGACTCCCAAGGCTCACCTCTGAGAAAGTAACAGGGCTACCCCGCCTTCCATCCCTTTCCCATGCACCCCTGTGCCCCCATGTCTTATTGGCTTTCTTCTGCATCCTGTTCTTTTCTGGAAACTGGATCCTGAGCTAGGGCGGGCTTAGAGTAAGGCTAAGCAGTGAGGCCTGTCTCCAATGAACCCCTGCTGCATATCCTCCAGCCACTGTCCTGGTTGTCTCACCATCGGACACACTGCGAGAGGGCGCAGAGGCCAACCTAACTTGCAACGTGAGCCAGGAAGTTGCCATCAGCCCTGCCAACTTCTCCTGGTTCCGGAATGGAGCGCCATGGACCCAGGGACCACTGGAGACTGTGAGGCTGCAGCCCGTGGCCAGGACTGATGCTGCCGTCTATGCCTGCCAACTCCTCACAGAGGATGGGGCTCAGCTCTCGGCTCCTGTGGTCCTAAGCGTGCTGTGTGAGTGATGGTTAAGGGCATCACAGCTTGGAGGGCAGAGGCTCGGGGTGTGTGTGTTAATGGGCAAGGAGGGCCATGGGGTTGGGGTTGGGGTCTGGGGAGATAAGTGCCAGCCTGATGGCCAGCAGGGCCTATGGAGTGTATATAAGGGGAGGGGACACTGTGTGACAGCTAGAGATTGGCTAGAGCAGCCTGGGTAGCTATCCCTGCTCTGGTTCTTGCAGATGCCCCAGATCCTCCAAAGCTGTCAGCCCTCCTGGATGTGGCTCAGGGCCACATGGTTGTGTTCATCTGCACCGTGGACAGCTACCCCAAGGCTCAACTGTCTCTATTCCGTGGGGAGCACCTCCTGGCCACCAGCTTGAAACCCCAGCGTCCATCCCATGGCAGAGTCCAGGCCAAGGCCACAGCCAACTCCCTGCAGCTAGAGGTCCGAGAACTAGGCCTTGAGGACTCTGGAAACTACCGCTGCGAAGCTACAAATGCTCTCGGATCAGCCAACAGTTCGCTCTTCTTCCAGGTCAGAGGTAAGGATCAGCCCTCTCACGCCAGGGTGGACCCTGAGACCTAGAACTGCTCCGGTCAGACACTGTGCGCGGTGATTTCCACTCGAACGCTTTGGTCGGGGTGTGGTCTGCAGCCTCCACAAGGTCTCCCTGCTTCCACCCTTCCCACCTGTGCGAACTGCAGTGACCCCAGCAAGAAGAGGCCAGCAAGCAGGTGGCTAGTTTCAGCTGGAGCCTACCCTCCTCCCTTTCTTCCTGTTCTTTTGAGAGAGGGATTTCCCCAGATTTACTACGTACCCAGGCCAGCCTCAGAGTCCTGCCGCAGCCAACCTTAGGGCTAAGGTTACAGATGTGAGCTACCATGCCCAGCTGGCTGGAGGATTTCCTAACACAATTTATTTTGTAATACAATTTTGTTCCATTCAAACACTCATATAAAAGCAAGTGATGCATATTATACAAGTATATATACATATTCTTACAAATAATATATTCATCTTCCTTATATGTGCATAGATATACACATAAATGCATATATATATATATATATATATATATATATATATATATATATATATAAATATTCTCTATAGAAAGTCTCCCAGAACAAGCAACCATGGTGGCATACACCTGTAAGCCAAGCATTCTGGGAGGCAGAGGCAGGAAGATAGCAAGTTCAAAGTCAAAACAAAACAAATCAGAAATCTATCTAGGCAAATACACCAGAAAAAACGGAAAGATAATATCCATAAGGCAAGGGCCAAAGAGACACACATACTTCCCTCATAATGTGAAGCAGTAACAATCTGGGGACATTTACTTTGGTCCTGTCTTTTCTCCTTCGTTACCTCCATTTCTTAGGCAGATGGATTGAGTCAGAGTCTGGGAACACCTCGAGGGAGCATGGATAGCAGCCCTGTTGGCCATGAACTAGTTTAGTTCTGGTCCTGGCTCCTGTCACTGCTCTAGCTGTCTCTCTTCCTCACCGCCTGACCCCTGATTCCTCTGAGCCCACTCCCTACTCTCTGGGATGTCGTGGCCTACATCCTGGGTGCAGGGCTTGGCACAGAAGGCTGGGAAAAAACAACTTGTCAACTCTCCCTTCAAGCCCTCAGCTACTGACAGAGTCCCGGTGTATAGTCAGCTCAGCGGCCCTCAGCATGAGCTAGCCTCCTGTGGCGGTGCTTCCGTGGTCAAACCATCAGTTCTTAGGGCTAACACATGTAGGCGCTGTGCCTGGTGCTGCTTGTAGCGCACATAAGCTCCATTCTGCTGAAACTCACCTGCAGCAGACAAAGGCCTGACTGAACAAATCCAAACTTCAGGTGTTGCAAACTGTTAATCCCAGCACTCAAGAGGCTGAAGCAAGAGAACCTCATAAATGCAAGGCCAGCCCGGGCTACAGAGTGAGTTCTAAGCCAGCCAGGTGCCACAAACATTCTGTCTTAGAAAATCAAACCAACAGACCGAGCAACCAAACAGGAAACCCGTAATCCAGGTGGTAAGAAGCAAGGGCCAAGACAAGGCAGATTCAGGCCAGAAAGGAGCAGGAAAGAAAAAGGCGTGGAACCGAGGGAGCCCTGGGCAGCTGTAGGCACGGGACTGGAGCCCTTCACTCATCTGGAGACACAAACAGTACCAGACAATGGGGGGGGATGGTGGCATGCCCTCATATGCCCTGTTTCTCCCTGTAGGAGCCTGGGTCCAGGTTTCACCATCACCTGAGCTCCAGGAGGGCCAGGCTGTGGTCCTGAGCTGCCACGTGCCCGCAGGGGTCCCGGAGGGGACCTCATACCGCTGGTATCAGGATGGCCGCCCCCTCCAGGAAGCAACCTCATCCACACTCCACATTGCAGCCATAAGTCTGAGGCAAGCTGGTGCCTACCATTGCCAAGCTCAGGCTCCAGACACAGCTACTGCCAGCCTGGCTGCCCCCATCAGCCTCCATGTATTCTGTAAGGGAGTTTCTCACCCGTGTGGGAGGAGGGAGGTGTTCCACAACGGAGCCTTGTATGAGGGATGCCTCAGCCACACCCTGACCACTCGTCATCTGATGCAGACACCCCACGCCACGCCACACTGAGCGCCCTGCTGAGCACAGACCCTGAGCGAGTCGGCCTCCTGGTGTGCAAGGTACGCAGTGACCCGCCAGCTCAGCTGCGGCTCTTTCACCGGGATCACCTTGTGGCCTCTACCCTCCAAAGCCCGGAGGAACTGGCAAGCAGCGATCCCCGGCTGCGGGTGACCGTGAGCGCCAATGAGTTACGCCTGGAGATCCGCTCCACAGGGCTGGAGGATGGCGGCACCTATACCTGTGAGGCCACCAACACACTGGGCCAGACCTCTGCTACCGCTGACTTCGATGCCCAGGGTCAGTGAGGAGGAGAAGAGGAGACAAGGAAGCTTCTAGAAGCCCAGGAGCATAAGCACAAGGCCCCAACCCCATGCTAATTAGGGATGAGGGTTCAAGACTCGGGTGGCATGAAAGGCCTTGTTCAAAAACTGGGTGCCTGGTGCATAAAGCTAACCAGAAAAGGGAGGCCTTTTCACCCATTTACCCTTAGCCGGGGCCAGAGAGGGGCTCAGGACTGGGCTCTGGGGTACTCTGCTCGGGACCCCCAGGTTCAACCTATGAACTTTAGCTAGAGTGTTCCTGGGGGAGCCTGGGGTGTGCCGGTAGCAGAGCTGGCTGGCCCTCGTAGAGACAGGGCTTGTTTCACACAGCTGCAAGACCCTCACTTGTGACCCCTCCCCTCCCCTCCCCAGCTGTGCGTGTGACAGCGTGGCCCAATGCCACGGTGCAGGAGGGGCAGCAGGTGAACCTGACCTGTGTGGTATGGAGCACCCACCAGGCCTCGCTCCGCTACACATGGTACAAGGGCGGGCAACAGCTCCTCGGTGCCAGTTCCATCTTCCTGCCCAATGTTACCGTTATGGACGCCACCTCCTACCGATGTGGTGTGGGGCTCCCTGGCCAAGCACCCCACCTCTCCAGACCTGTCACCCTGGATGTCCTCTGTGAGTCTGGCTGGGTGTGGGCAGTGGTGGAGAGAGTGACAGAAACCCACAGGGATCAGGGCTGTACGCAGCCTAAGAACGGAACAACTAGGCAGCTGTGGTGAGAGCTGGGGAAACGGAGACAGGTCCCTTCTAGGCAGAGGACCAGCGTCCCTGACAGGACATGGGGCACTCTCTTGCTGCTTGCAAACCGGCCTTCTCTGTGTATGCCTCCTGGACCTCTGCAGATGCTCCCCGAAGCCTGCGGCTGACCTACCTCCTGGAGACCCAGGGCAGGCAGCTGGCCCTAGTACTGTGTTCTGTGGATAGTCGGCCACCAGCCCAGCTAACTCTCAGCCACGGTGGCCGCCTCCTAGCCTCCTCGACTGAAACTTCTGTCCCCAACACCCTGCACCTAGAGCTTCGGGACCCAAGGCCTAGAGATGAGGGACTCTATAGCTGCTCCGCCCACAGCCCACTGGGCAAGGCCGACACATCCCTGGAGCTTCGGCTGGAAGGTGAAGTGGAGCCAGGCCAAGGTTGCAGGAGCAGGAACTGCCTGTCACGTCCAGCTGGGCCCAGCTGACCCTAGATTTTTTTGGTTCAGGTGTACGGGTGAGGATGAATCCGTCTGCTTCTGTGCCTGAGGGGAAGCCTGTCACGGTGACCTGTGAGGACACTGCTGCCCTCTCGCCCGCCCTCTATGCCTGGTTTCACAACGGCCACTGGCTTCAGGAGGGGCCGGCTTCCTCCCTCCAGTTCCTGGCGACCACACGGGCTCACGCTGGCGCGTACTTTTGCCAGGTGCATGACAGTCAGGGCACACGCAGCTCCAGACCGGCCACCCTGCAAATCCTCTGTGAGCAGGGGTCCTTAGCTGTGGCTTTGTGGGATGAGGGTGGCAGAGGGTGCTGCCAGGAACTGGTTAGGGTGGACATGGCACTATGGAGGGGCTAGAAATGAGTGCTTGGGGAAACGAGGGCATTAGTGACCAAGATGGAGACATTATGGCCCTAGAAACCCTGCCTGAAGGACTCTGTCCGCAGACTCTTTCGGGAAGGGGCCGTTTGTCTGGAACCTTCAGCTTCACTGACATTGGGCAGGTGTGCAGGTGGGCCGTGCACGCCTCAGCAGGGCTCCTGTCTGTGCCCTGCCCTACCTCTAGATGCCCCTCGGGATGCCGTCCTGTCTTCCTTTCGAGACTCGAGGACCAGGCTCTTGGGCGTGATACAGTGCACGGTGGACAGCGAACCACCCGCTGAGCTGGTCCTATCCCACAATGGCAAGACGCTAGCTGCCAGCCACGGACCTCACAGCTCCGCATCAGGGATAGGCGGCATCCAGGTATCCCGAAATGCTCTGCGGCTACAGGTGCAGGATGTGACTGTAGGCGGTGGCAGCGACTATGTTTGCACAGCCACGAACGCACTCGGTTCCATCAGTACCACCCAGACGCTCCTGAGGGAGACCGGTGAGTGGAGAGGGGTGAGGGGGTGCTTTGGGGCTGGATGCCATGTGGGGGGCTGCTGTCCTGAAGGAATATGAAATAGTCCTTCCCTGAAGAACCTAATCTGCTTGAGGAGGCATGGCTCTCAGTGAAGGGGTTGCACTAGGCTCAGGGGACAACCCAGCCCTACCAGTGGAGTGGGGGAAGGTATTACTGCTTTATAGCAGGAGTGGGAGGAGACATATTGGACCCCACATACTCTTCACTGGGGAAGCCTGGGGTGGGAGCAAGACAGAGCCCCTGCCCCTGGGAAACCCAGTCTGAGGGCAAGATGCAGCCTCATGTTTCAGATGACCTTCTCTGACTCTGGAGGCACAGCCCTGTCTGTCATGGGAACCTCAGGACACAGAAGCAATCCTGCTGTTTTCATGTGGTCTGAGGAGAGACCCAGTCCCAGCTCGGAGGGTCTTGAGCCCCAGACAGATGGAGATCGCACCACAATGCTCACATCCCTGACCATGTACCCATCCTTGTACTGCAGATGTACACGTGCTGGCTGAGCCAGGTTTGGACGTGCCAGAGGGCACAGCCCTGAACCTAAGCTGCCACCTCCCTGGTGGCTCTAAGCCCATGGGCAACTCTACCTTCACGTGGTTCTGGAATCGCCACCCACTACACGCAGCTCCTGGGCCCACACTCTCCTTTCCCCAGGTGGCCCGGGCTCAGGCTGGGCTGTATCACTGCAGGGCTGAGCTCCGCACTGGCTCCGCCACCTCTGCTCCGGTCATGCTCCGTGTTCTCTGTGAGTATGACCCCACCTCTGCTCCATCTCTCCACATCCCACTGGTCTATATCACATCTTTTCCTCTGCACGGAGCAAGGGCTTCATGGGTAAGCATCTTAGTTAGAATACTGGCATTCCCACTGGCTGACTGTACGTGGCTGTGTATCTTATGCTCTCGTCCTCCATCTTTGAAATGAAGGATACAGCCCTCCTATCCTCTTGGGATGAATACAGAAGATAAAGCAGACTGAGTGCCTGGTGCACAGGCGGCCATTGTTAGCCTCAGTTTCCCCACTCCACTCTTCCGTGCCCAAGCTCTGGCAATCAGTTACTGCTTGGTAACAAGTTACCCCAAATTCACAATTCTATGGGTTAGAAGTTTGGGCAGGGCTCATCTGGGAAGTTCTTCTGGCTGCAGCCGTTCAGTGGTTCCTCTGAGACTGAACAGTCTAGGATGGCCTCACCTGCTGGCTGCAGATGGGCCATATAGGGCCAGCAGGCTAGCCTGGGTTTTCCATGTTTGTTCCAGGAAGCAGAAGGTAAGCGGCAAGGCCTCTTGAGATCCAGTTTCAAAGTCCAACAATGCCTCTTTTAAAATGTGTATGGACACGCTGCGTGCGTGCGTGTGTGTGCGTGTGTGTGTGTGTGTGTGTGTGTGTGTGTGTGTGTGTGCGCTGTGTGTGCTGTGTGTGCTATGTGTGGGCTTGTACTTGTTTGTGTATGAGGATAAAAGTCACTGTCTTTATTACTCTGTACCGTATCTTTTGAGGCAGGGTCTCTCACTGAACCAATTCAGCAAGATTGGCTGTCCACAGAGCTCCAGGGATCCTCCTGTCCCTGCTCCCCAGTGCTAGTGTTACAGCTTTAACCTGAGTGCTGGGATCAAACTCAGACCATCCTGTGTTTATGCAGCAGCCACTTTACTGACTGAGGCTTTTCCTCATCCTCCATAATGTCACTCTCGCCTCAGGAGTGAGGAAATGGGCTCCACTGTTTCTCGGAAGTACATGGAAGTCACGGCAGAGGGAGGGCTTTGTGGCACACTCATACAGCCAGTCATTCTTCCTCCTCACAGATCCTCCCACGATACCCACTCTGACGGTGTTTGTGGAGCCTCAGGGTGGCCTCCGGGGCATCCTTGACTGTCGAGTGGACAGTGAGCCCCCAGCAAGCCTCACCCTCCACCTGGGCAGTCAACTAGTAGCCTCCAACCAACCCCAGGGTGCTCCTGCCCAGCCGAACCTCCGCATCTCCTCCTCCCCCAATGCCCTGAGACTGGACACGGAGGAGCTTGGACCCAGCAATCAGGGGGAGTACGTGTGCACTGCCTCCAATGCCCTGGGCTCCGCCTCCGCCTCGGCCTACTTTGGGACTGGAGGTGAGGGTAATGGCTGTACCGGAAGCACTCTGTCCTAAGGCTGCCTGCCCGGAGCCCTGCTGCCACCAGACAGCTTGACTGTCTAGTCCAAATAGATGGCTTGGGCTTCCTTGCACAGGGCCTTGGAGATGAAGTGAAAAGTTAAAATCAGTTCTATGTTGGTTGGCTCACCTTGGGAGGGGGTGTTGGAGGCCTGAAGCCCAGCTAGCTCTTTCAGCTTCGCCTTCACATTGCAGCCCTGCACCAGCTCCAGCTGTTCCAGCAGCTTCTCTGGGTCTTGGGAGTTCTTGCTGGCTTCCTGTGCCTGCTTCTGGGCCTGGGGGCCTGGCACACCTGGAGGTGAGTTCAGAGCTGTGTGGGGTACTGGGCTGCTTTGCTCTGCTCATCCTATTTTCTCCTTTGTCCCCCAAACCCTTTGAGGAAAATTCTCCCCACCGGAGCTCACAGGCTTCAAGTTTCCTACCCTATCCTCTCCAAATTTAGGGATTTCCCCCTTTTGAATCAGCTGTACAGTTTGTCTTGCTGTAGCTTTCCTCTGCTCATATGCACTTATGCTGAAGAAAGAGCTGAGGAGGGGGAAACAAGCATGGTGCCCACACATGCTCTCCTGCTCCTCACAGCCAGCAGGGGTGGGAGGCGGCTCTCACTGAGTCCGCACTTGCTCTTGCAGAAAGAAGCATTCTAATAAGCTGAATGTGAACGAGAACTCAACAGAGATGGTCACTCAGAAAGACACTATCCAGGTATGCACTCAGCACGTGTGAGAGCACGTAGGTGTACCGGGGCTCATCTGGCATCTGGACAGCGTTTCCCTTATAGGACAACACTGGGACCAGGGGTGGCTGGGAAAGGGGTATGGGAGCCCAGATCTCCTTGGAGAACAGGGGGAGCAATTCTGACTAAGGGCTCAGAGAAGTTATCCGTTTGCTGGGTGCATGACTCGGTGATGCAGGGAGCTGTATCAAGACGCATTCTCTGATCCCACTCCTTCCATTTTGAAATCTCTCTTCATCAAATCTGAGCCCACCTGTCACGTAGGCAGGAGTGAAAGGTCCCTTTCCCTCCCCTAACATGTTCCTCTTCTGCAGACGGCCCTTTCCTAGGACCATAGGTCAGTGTAGGATCTTCTGTGATCCAGGTTTTCTTTAGCTCTTGATGCAGCCACACATGGAACCTCACCTCGAATCACATCCCCGAGCTGATGGATGACTTACCTGCCTTCAGGAGGGGGTGGTGGCCGCTGTGTGACAACTCAGGTGCTGTGAGCAAGGTCCCACCTACCTCTGTACAGGCAGCATGAAGGTGGCTGCCTTTCCTGACCTGCCTTCCAAGCCTCTTGCTCCTAAGAAGGACGGATGGAGAGATGTGAGACGGAAGTTAACAGCTGCCTCCAGGGCTCTGGGACAGCCATGTTGCCCACTTCTCTTTGTGTGACTTTCCTCTGTGTCCCTTTGCCTCTTTCCCTTCAAAGCCCACCTTGGACTTCTTTCCTGATAGGTTAGAACAGCATGTGGTTCCTCACGGACTTGCTAGGACACTCTGTGCCGTACAGAGGCCAAATACAGACTTTAGCATGACAGGCTTTTATTTTTCTCTTCTGAAAACTGGTCTGGTTATGCTATGGTGGTTTCAGAATCCTCACTTGCTTTTCTCCATTCCCCAAGTGTTGCCTTTGATTAGGAAGTTCGGGTGACTGTAGTCCATGGTCCCTGCGGTGAGAAGGAAGAGCGCAGGGAAGGTCCACTCATTCCCGTGGTCCACAGAGCTGGAACATGCAGTTGCTCCTTTCCTCACTCACCATTAGCTACGAATAGGTCATATAAACACACCATGCTGCAAGAGAGACTGGGAAACATACTTTTTGTTCTGAGTCTTGACTACATTTGGAACCTCTATTTCTGAAGGATCCTGTTGTGGACTCGGCCCTAGGACTTTTGACGTTGAAGAAGAGCGGCATTATCCAGCTAGGCTCTGACTCAGTGTCCTGGGCCATTCTGATTTTGAGTTTCCTGAAAGGAGGAGTACTCCTTACATGGTGAGACCGAGGAGCCAAGGTTTGGTGGTCCCTAAGTATCTTAGTTACTGTTCTTTTGCTGTGAAGAGACACAAGACAATTCTTATAAAAGAAAACATTTAGCTCGGAGCTTGCTTACAGTGTTAGAGGGTCAGGATCAGCATGGTGGGAGGCAGACAGCTGTGGAACTGAAGCCGTAGCTGAGAGAGTTATATCTGGATCAACAGGCAGCAGGAAGGGAAGGAGGGAAGGAGAGAGAGACACCCTGTCATAGTCTTTTGAAACCTCAAAGCTCACCCCCAAAGACATGCCATCTCCAACAAGGCCATTCCTCCTAATCTTTCCCCCAAAGTTCACCAACCAGAGACAAAGCCTTCACACATAAGGGCCAGTCTCATCCAAACCATCACACCAGGCAGGGTAAGGGCATGTCAGGCAGACATCCTTGTACAGGATGAAGAAGTAACTCAGCGCATTCCCTCTTACCCCTACAGCTGCACCAGCTCTTTCAAGACCAAGGGGCAGACAGGGTGTTAGCAGCACCCTTGTCCCTGCTCTGGGCACATGACAATGTGTGCACGTCACGCAAAGTGAACAAGTACACATTCCGTGGGCTCCCGAGCTCCAGTGCCTGTTAACACAATTGAGCATCACCAAGAGGGAGCGAAGCGTTCCTGAGAGGTCAGGGATGGAGGGGAACCGGGTCTACAGTGGCTGGAGACTCCCGCTGTAGCCTGGCAGTAGATGGTAAAAGGAACAAAGGGCCAGGGGCTGAGAGCCTGAAGAAGTCGGAGGAGCTAGAAGGTCCGGAATAAATTGGGAAAGGGAAAACTGTGGAGCCGAGGCTCTGCTCTTGCTTGTTCTAGGCTTACTTTCTTCCTTCTCTTCCCTTCCCTTCTTCTGCCTTCCTTCTGTCCTTTCTTCCTTTTCTTTTCTTCCTTTCTTTTTTCTTTCCTCTCTCCCTCCCTCCCTTTCTTCCTTCCCACCCCAATTCCCAGACAAGGTCCCATGTAGCTCAAACTGACTTCAGTCTCATTATGTATCTGAAAATGGATGACCTTAAACTTCTGATCTTCCTCAGGCCCCATTTTCTTTTGTGCCTGAATGCCATACTTTCTCTGGGATCTTTCCAGCATATTCCTCCAATAAACCTCCATTCCAGGATACAACTGGAGTCAATTTTCTTCTTTGCAACCAAAATATCTAAAGCTCAGATCCAGAGAATTCCAATATTGAATTCTAGTGTCTCTGACACCATCTGTGGGCACGTGGCCAGGCAGCATGAATCACGTGGTGCTTGCCTCATACCGTCTGCTGGAGTCATCTGTGTCCCTTCCTGCTTACCCATGAGGACCAGCACAGGTCTTGCATGTGGTAGGTGACACTTGTTTCTTGTTTTTGTTGAGTAGAAATGCAGAAAACCAGCTGTACCGGAGGTGAGACAGGGGCAGGGAGAGAGCAAACCAGTGGAGCAAGACGCTCCCTGATGATAGGGAGCAAAAGCCACACCCAAGGGGTGGTGGCTGCTGAGGGTTTGGGGACATGTGACTTGGGAGTCCTTGTCATGCCCTTTCAAGGAGGGATGTTGGAGTGTGCTCGAGGGTCTCATGGGGTCGATCCCCAGTGGTCCGAAGCCCCTTAGACTTCTGAAGTAAATCTCTAACTCAAGCACAACTTATATGCATGGTAAATACGTCAGCGCAATGGCTTTTCCAAAAGGGAGCACATCCATGTAATCCATATGAGATCAAGAAAGAGAAATGTCAGCGTCCCAGAGCAACCGACTCCCAATCTCCTCCCCCTAGCTTGATTTCTAATGCCATAGATTTGATTTTCCCTGTGGTTAAGCTTTATAAAAATGGCATCATACTACTTTAAACACGAGAACGCTGTGAAACGATTTGCCTGTGTCTATTACGGGTAAACTATTCTTCCCTCGACTCTGACAGTTTATTCTTGGGCACTTACTCAGAAAAAATGAAGGCTTATGTCGCCCAGAGATTTGTACTAGAATGTTCATAACAGGGTTACCCATCATAGCCAGAAACGGAAAACGGTAAATGCACAACAGCGGCTGGATGGCTAAGCGGACTGTACCTTGTCCACACAGCGATGAGTGGCTGGGCCTGCTGGTGAGTTCTCAGATGGTCAGTGGCAGGAGGGTCTGACAGCCAGGCCCACGGCTGCATGTGGTTGTTACTTTCCATCTGCACTGTTGTACCAAAGCATCTGACAAAAACAACTCCAGGAGGGAATGATTTATTTCGACTCACGCTGAGGAGGCACAGCCTCACCTTGGTGGGGAAGGTGTCTCCAGCTGTGGGGGCAGGAACGGGGTCGGGGGGTGGAGATGGCTACATTGTGTCAGCGAGGAAGCAGAGAGAGACCAGTGATGGTGGATTTGGTTTCTACCTTTCCTCTTCCTATCCACGCCAGGGCGCCAGACCATCAGGTACTGCTGCCCCTTTTGGGGATAAGCCTCAGTTAAAACTCTCAGGAAGCATCCTCACTGACATGCCCTAGGTGATTCTAAACCCAAACAAGTTCACAGTGACCACCAAGGACAGGCAGAGTCAGGCAATGGGAATGAAGTCAACACAGTGGCCAGTGATGGGCAAAGGGATTGGCAGGGACCACAGTAAGGCTTCATCATATGGGTTAAATGAGCATGTTCACTTGTGAAAATCTGGTGAACGGCTTGCTTTTCTGAATGTATATGTTGAAAAGAAAGTTTATTATTTTTTTTTTAAAACCTGCCACCTTACCTGGGTCTTGGGTTGTGTATCTGTGGTGCTAGCCTCTCTAGGCTGAGGTGGGAGGACCCCATGAGTCCAGGAGGCTAAGGTCAGCCTGAGCAACACAGAAAAAGCTCATCTTTTAAAAACAGAGGAAACTGAACATGGAGGGGCCGGACTTCAATCCCAGCACTCGGGAAGCAGAGTAATCTTTTTTTTTTAAATCTTTTTGTAACAGTCTCAGGTCCAGACCCCACGGTAACCCATGGGATCTGAACTTCTTTTATGAAAAGAGGTGATCATAGTGATACAGTTGAAAACTACTCATCAACAAAATAATGAGCTAAAGGCATAGGTAATAGGCAGGGTAAAACTCACAAATTGGGAAAATGCAACCCATGCTCCAGACAAGGGCTAATCTCCTTTAAACATAAAGGTCCTTCAAACTGTTAACAGAAGGAGGACCTCACGAGGAAAATGGGCTACAGATATGAATTGGTATGTTATTATATTTAAAAACTGTATCTAAAACAGCTTATATAAGAAATCAGTAGCAGTGGCTTCCTGTGGGAAATGAGGATCAAAAGGATGGAGACTGAAGAAAAAAGAAGACTTCACTAAGCATTTTATACTTTTGTGTTTGTTTTGTTGTTGTTTCCTTGTTTGTTTGGTAGGTCGGTTTTTGGAGACAGGTTTGTGTAGCTCTGTCTGTCCTAGATTCACTCTGTAGACCAGGCTGGCCTTGAACTCAGAGATCCACCTGCCTCTTACTCCCAAGTGCTGGGATTAAAGGTGTTTGCCACCACTGCCCTGGTTGTTTGGTTTTTGACACTGGGTCTGGTTGTGTAGCGCAAGCTGCCTCCAGAGTGCTGGAAATACAGGCATGAATGTGGTACAGTGGCACAAAAGCTATGGGAGCAATCACAATCTGATTGGATTTAAAGCCCACCCCATAAGACAGACTCTATGCCTGGAGCTGCTCTGGTGTCCAGAGACTAGGAGACTAGATAGGCCATGGGCCCAGTGGAAAACCAAATACTACTGTCATACTAATGGAACATAGCAATAAGATTACTCCTAATGACATTCTGCTTTGTTCGTAGATGAGTGCCTTGCCCAGCCATCATTAGAGAAGCTTCCTCATGAAGTAAATAGGGACAAATACAGAGACCCACAACTGGACAGTGTTCGTATGAACTCAAATAGACTGTGGCAGCACGAGCTAGGCCTGCACAGATCAGGCCAGTGGGGCCCACCTGGACCAAGACAGGACACTCAAGATTGCCAGCCTGGGGAATATAGGAAGAGATCTCATGGAGATCGAGGGAGGGGAAGGGGAGGAGGGGGAGGAGGAGGAGGAGGAGAAGGCACTAAACACAAGCCCGGCAGTGGCGAATGATTCTAATCCCAGCACTTAGGAGGCAGAGGCAGGTGGATCTCTGAGGTCGAGGCCAGCCTGGTCTACAGAGTGAGTTCCAGGATAGCCAGGGTTACACAGAGAAACCCTGTCTCAAAAAAAACTACTAACAGTCTCATCTTACCTTTCTGTGTGTGTGTGTGTGTGTGTGTTGGGTGGGGTTCTACAGTCACCTGTACGTGCATGTGTGGCTGACTTTGGGTATCTTCCTGTGTCACTCCCCATCAGTTTTTTTGTTTGTTTGTTTTGTTTTTGAGATAGGGTCTCTTGCTGAACCTGGAGCTTGACAATTTGCCTGCCTCTGTCTGGTCCAGCACTTGGCTTTCTGGCTTTTTGTAGTTGCTGGAGACCTGAACTCAGGATTGCACAGCAGGCACTTTACTCATTAAGCCCATCTCCCCGGCCCATTGCCATGTGTCTCTCCCCCACCCCCTACCCTCCATCCCCCCACCCCACCACCACCCCCTGTGCCCAGTCTCCAGTTCCAGTGCAGGTTGATCTCACTTTTCATATAGGGCTTTGAACTTGTCCTCTGCCTCCGCCGGCTGGGATCACAGGTGTGTGCTGCCACAACCATGAGGGTTGAAGTCAGGGCACAAGTGTGTATTAACTGAGGCAGGCTCTCTCTCTCTCTCTCTCTCTCTCTCTCTCTCTCTCTCTTCCTCCTCTCACCCCTTTCCATTCCCTCCATCTTCCATGAGCCCTCATTGCCCCAGGCTGACGGTCTTGAGTGGCCTGTCTTGACCCAGGTGGGCCGCTGGCCTGATCTGTCATACTGTTTGATGTTTGAATCATATAAATGCAGTTTTCTCTGTCGTTGAAACTTTTACATCCCAAACTCTCACAACCAAATTATTAACCAGCTCATTTCTAAGTTAAGTCTCTTGCTATCCAAATCCATACCTAGTATGTGAAGTGACCTTTACAGCACGAAAGGAATGTCCTAAAATTTTGGGGAAAGCTCCCTCACACCTGGGTTGTCTGTGGCACAGTATAATTCTGTCCTGGCCATCGCTGACCATCGCTGTCCCTCCGCCCTGCGCCCACCACTGCATCGCCTTTACCATGAACCACAGACTCCAGCACCTTGGCCCCGAGGTACCACGTGCGCCTCAACAGCAGGGAGACAGCTACATCCGACGGCCATCCGCGGTGGCTACAGGGTAGACAGATCCTGGGAGGAATCTTCGCTCAGGGCAGGTAGAAAGGTGGGTCCAGAGGTCCCTCGGGAGACCAGGACCAGAGATGTGCCCGGAGCAGCGGCCAGGGGTCCCGCAGCCAACGCCTCTGTTCAGCACCGCGAGAGGTTTTCTAAGAAACTTCCTGGCGCTTTCCGCCCTCTCCTCCCTTTACCAGAACGGGTAGAATTGTTGCCAATGAAGCCTGGGAGGGTCTCCCTGGGTCCCGCGGTGCGGGCTCCGGTCCTGCGGGACAGGGTAGGGACAGGCTCCCGCGAGGTGGCGCGAGCCTGAGGGCGGGAGGAGGCGGCCCCCTCCAGCCGGGGTGGAGCCAACAGCGCAGAAGGAGAGGGAGGCAAAGGCACTCCCAGCCATGGGCCTGGGATGCGGGAGACCTGGGGGGTCTCCCATGCTGCTGTTGCTGCTGCTGCTGCTGCTGCTGCCCGCCTGTCTGCTGCGGAGCTCCCGGACGTTTCCAGGTGAGGATGTGGGCCGGGGGGGCCTCTAGGGCAGGTGGAGCGGTGGTGGTCATGGTGGACTACCTGGCCAGCACAGGGCGTGGGAAGGCGATGTGCTCCTGGGTTGGCCCTGGAGCAGACTTGCCCACACTTAGCAGAGAGGCAACACTACCACCCTCAACCCCCTAACCCCGGCCCCTTCAGTGCTGCCAGATCCTAGCTCTGCTCCGAGGCTTCTGCACCTCCAGACTGCTAGGCCAGAGCGTCTTTCTCCTCCAGGAAGAACTGGTGCTCTGGGGTTCCTGGGGGTCCTGGGCTGCCCACAGGTCTAGCTGTTCCATCAGGCTCATCCTCCCCCCTCCTGGGTCTGGACAACATGTATAGTGTTTAGACAGTTGCCTTGTGTGGCAGTTCTTCAAACAGGAGTGTCTGCCTAGCAGAGCCCGGCTGCCACTTTCTCTTCCTACTGTAAGTTCTCCTCACTCCAGTATGGCAGGGCTCTCAGCACCTCTAAGCATGTAGGGTGAGTCTCCAAACTCCATACAGCAAGCACCTGGCCAAAAGGCAGAAAGGCTGTCAGGGAGGAGGTCACAAGGGCTGAGGGGTTGGGCTGTCTGGCAGCCTGGAGACAACCTCATACTGATGGACTCCTGATCTGCGACAGTTCTGAAGGGGTGAATGATAGCTGCACTGCCCTTAGCCAGGGGATAGTTGATGATAGAACTCATGGGAGAGAGAGCCCATGTGTTCCCTAATGCAGACTGGCTTCCTCAGTTTCCACTTTAGTCCATGCAGACTCCTAGCTCCATCCTTGCCTCTGTCCTGAAGGACTGCACAGAGAACACGCACACCTGGATCCTGCATCCTTGGTGCCCTGAGGCCAGCAAGGCTTGCTTCTCCACACCCAGTTAAGCCTTTTCTTGGCCAAGACATCTTTTACCTCCACGAAGGCTTCTCCGTCCTCCTCTCTTTCTCTCTATTTCTCTTCAGCCTCTATTCCAAGGCCACACCCTCATCCCCAATTGCAGGATAGATCATTAACTAAGAGACAGGTATGACTTCAAGGACAGGGTTCCCGGAACTGTTGCTATCCCAGATTTTTAAAATGTGCAACAGTGTTTTGCCTGCACGTCTATCTGTGTACCATGGAGATACGGGCTAGGGGCCGGAGGAGGTGGACAGATTCCCCCAAACTGGAGTTACAGATGGTTGTGGGCTGCCATGAGGGTGCTGAGACCAGAACCCAGGTCCTCTGGAAGAACAGTGAGTGCTCTTAACCACTGAGCCACCTCTCCAGCTCCTATGCCAGATTTTTGATGTCTGAGATCTAGAGAGGTGATAGAGGCATAACAAAGAGTTGGGATGACCCAGGAAGAGCTGAGCCAGCCTCAGAGATAGCTCTCAGCCTGGGCAGGGCTGCTAGAGCTGGTAGTGTCTGGGGTACCTTTGGGTTTTGTTTTTCTGCAAGCTGGGCCTACTGGAGGATGGAGTGCCTGAGGGGTAAGAGGGCTTGCTGCTGCCTCTGGCTGCTGGAGCCTGCTTCCTGCAGAGTAGGTCCCGTGAGCATTGCCGGGACCAGATAGGAGAAGGGAGGTAGGAACATTCCTGAAGAACATTCCAACAGCCTCTGAGTAATGCTTGGCTCTGGTGCTCCTCCTGGATTCCCCTCAGAAACGCCTGGCTTAGGAGCACTGAGGCCCTGAACCCCAGCTCCTCCCTTCACCTTGACAAAAGGAAGGGGGACTCTGGACCAGATCTCACCAAGTCCTGCCACCAGCACCAACTTCCCCCAAAAGCTCTGGGAAAGGCATCTGGTGGCTCTCTTACTCAGATGGCGGAGGAGACAGAGCCTCTAGTTACACGTCTGTCATCCTAAAGGCATCCACTGCCGTCTAAAAATAGTAAAGGCTTCTTCCCAGCTCCTCTGCACTGGGGTCTGGGCTTCTTTCTGTGCCCTCTGACCTCAAGCTAGCTCCCCAAACTCTGGCCGCTCTCAAATTCCCCAATGGGGATGTTTCCCGGTGCCTCGGTTTCTCTTTTGCCACCTCCTGGTTGCTGGTCCATTTAAGGGATACCCCATGAATGCCAAGTCCTGGGAGTGCTGCAGATGGAGCCTGGCTTCCAGGGCCTCTCCTTCCCTACTGTCTTCCTGCTCCTACCTGCTCCGACGAGTCTAACACTATTCTGTCTTCAACCCAGGAAATGCTCCTGGAGAGCCAGTTACTCCCCACTGGATCCTAGATGGAGAACACTGGCTCAAGGTCACCCTGGAGGAGCCGGTCAGTATCCATTACCTTGTTCTTATCAGAGGCCCTTTTGTCCTCTCCAAAAAGGCAGTGACAGTTTTTCTGGGGTTCTCAGAACCAAGTCACTGTGCCCTTAAGCCACTCCCTGTCAGGGTGGGTGGGACAGGGAGACAGTTAGATGGCGTGAGGCTACACACATGGAAGTCATTTGGGGCTTCCTCCTTCCCACCGCCTTCTAGTCCTGGCCCTACCCTCTCCTCCACTGGGGAACACCCAGGCTATCCCCACTCAGCTAGGCAGAGATGAGTTCAGACTTTGGGGCCTGAAGTCTTTCAGGAGCTTCTCTCTCTCTCTCTCTCTCTCTCTCTCTCTGTGTGTGTGTGTGTGTGTGTGTGTTCTGTTCTTTTCTGTCTTGTTTCGATTGAGATAGGGGCTCATCATGTAGCCTTGGTGGGCTTCAAGTTGTGAGCCATCATGCGAGCTTCAGGAGCTTTTAAAAGGACATTAGCATATTCTTCATTGGCCAAGTTTATGGGGAACATGTGACTCTGTGTTCATACTGCTGTCTTGTAACCTCATCTCTCATGGTTGGAATCCATCTGTGGCAAGAAAGCAGTGGTCCATTCTCCTTGAATCCCCAGATGCAAACCCACTCCATTTTGCTTCTCCAGGACACTGGCCAGCCCCTTCTTAACTCATCACACGCTCCCAGAATAGCCTCGACCCAGCTGTGTGTGCCATTACAGCTATGCTGCAAACAGAGAGGCCAGTACTGGTATGCCTGTCTTACAGAAAGGCAAACTGAGCCCCACAGAGCCTGTAAAATTGCTCATGCTTGCATAGCTCATTGGTCCTAAAAGCCTCAGACCTCCTAAGACTTAAAGGACGTCAGACTATTGGCCACCTTCCCCTTCTTCCCTACAGCTACCGAAGCTTAGATGGAGTCTGACTCTGTATTTCCAGGCAAGCAAGGACAGCCCCACTGTCCAAACCTGAGAGTTTGGCCACAATGTCTATGGGTTGCCAGAAACCCAAACCTTCCAACTCAGGGCCTCAGACTTCTAGGTTCTTTCTCGACTAGCCACATGAGGATGACTTGTGGAACACACATGGGTTCCCCTGACTGTGGCCTCTCTCCTTGCCTGGCTTGGCCGTGATTGGGTGGAGAATCCCAGAGGACTCTGCTCTGCTTTGGAAGCCTGTGAGGACAGGGCAGGAGGAGCTTCGGCAGGGTGTGTGGTTCACAAACAGGATCATACTGCATGGGAAAGGGGCACAGAGGAGGGGGATGGACACTGGGGCAGAAGTGAAGGCTGCAAGGGCCACAGAGGGACAGGGCCACTGTGTTTCTCTTAGCACAAACATTTTCCCACAAAGCAAGGGGCATTCCAACCATCTAAGCTCATGTTTGGGCCCTCGTGGGGCCCATGGCAGGGGAAGTGAGGGCCATCCACTCTACACCTGCTGGGAAAGGGCCTCTCTGTAAGACTCTTGGCCAGGGTCCCAGCCCAGTGCATTTTGGGATAAAAGGGGAAAGCCAAAAAGGGTAGGGCGAACTTTTTTTTTTTTTTTTTAAAGCAGCCTCTCCTGGAATCCTTTGGGCTAGTTCCAGTTCTGGCTTTCAGCCAGGCTGAGTGGACAGCAGGAGAGAGGAAAACTCGGTGAGAGAGGAGAGGTGGCTAGAGGGTCAAGGCCAGCCCTTCTGAGACCTAGCTGAGGGAGTCGGCACTTCTGGGGGATGCCTAAATTGGAGTTAGTGTTTGGTTTGTGAGCTCAGCCTGGAGGCCACATGGAATTTCAGAGGACTGGAAAGTTTGCCAGAGTTGGAGGTGGAGGGAAAAAAGTCTGGGTTCTATCAGGAATAAGGGGAAGGCAGCAAGATGAAACAAGACGGAACGAGGGGTTGTGGGCACAGCTTGATTTGGCACTTGTGTAGCACATGCAAGGCCCTGGGTTTGATCTGCAGCATCAAGAACAAACCAGCAAGCAAGCTAACAAGCATACAAACAAACACAAACAAGACCCCGGGCAGCGCACGACACCAAAACCATAGCCCACCCGGTGATCCCATGACACCGTTAGTTCCCACTGCCTTCTGCCTTTCATGCTATTTCTAGCAACAAGAGAGGGCAGGTCAAGGGAAAGGCTCAGGAGCCCCTGGTAGGCTGTTTATGCGTCTTTAAGGGGCCATCGTCAGAACCTGGGAACACACGAGTGAGTTACAGCTCCCACACCTACTGACACCCAGCAACACAGGAGCCGGGAGTTTCCAAGTGCCTTCTCACTAGCCAGCTCTACATCTTACCCCTTCCCTGGAGGCAGGTGGCTTGGGGGCCTGGTGTGTCACCACATTCCTTCTTGGTCAGATCTTGAAGCCTGATGTGGTGCTGGTGGCCTTAGAGGCTGAAGGCCGGGATGTCCTGCTTGAATTGGAGAAGAACCAGTGAGTATTAATCAGTCTGGAGTTTGGCTGAAGCCCAGAACAGACCCTCTCTAGAGGGGAGCAGTGCATTGTAGGGGAGGCTGGGCGGGAAGAGGCATCACTGCCGGGGAGAGTGGCTGCCGTGCTTGAGGCGTAGTAGACAGGCACACGCTTTCCATCTCAGGTCTTGAGCAGCCTGGTGGCTCTGCTGGAGAGCACCACCTGGCGGACACTTCCTGATGCTTTCACTCAGCGTGGAGCCCTAGACAGGCTGCCCCAGAGGAGAGGGCAAAGGCGCTGGAGCTACGAAGGATGATGCTTGGTCTGGTGTGCTTGGGGTGTCTCCATCTGCATAGAAGAGAGCCAGGAGGGAAGGAGTCCCAGTAGGGCCAGATCACAGAAAGCGTCTTAGTGCTAAGTATCTTGGACCTGAAGAGCCAAAGATTTTATGATGGTGAATGAGAAACAGGATGTATCTCAGGATGGTGTGCTGAGGGCAGTGGTGAACAGATGGAAACGTGGGTCTATAGACTCCATTACCAATGGTATCACTCATTCCACGTCTTTCTTGCTGGAGATAGTATTCTATACATTTTATTCTTCCCAATGGAGTAAGACAGACATGGGAACAAAAAGTAAATACCATGCCAATCCACGTTCCCGAGAGTGCCAAATTCCTACCTACCAAAGCGTCTTGTATGTTTGTGTACACATTGAACATTTGCATGTATGAGCACAGCCAGCAAAGAGGCAAAGTTGGAGTGGGGGTGAGAATGGCTGGAAGTACAACAGCCCGAGTTTTTGCTGGGTAATCTGGAGGGCAAGGTGATGCTGGAATCAGGATTTTTTTTTTTAAGGAAGAACAAGTGAAGTCAGACATGGTGGCGCAGGCCTGTAACTCCTGCTTCTCAGGAGGCTGGGCAGGAGGAGCATGGGGTCAAGTTAGGGCCTACTTTGGTTATAGAGTTCAAGACCAGCCTAGGCAAGTTAGCAAGACCCTGTCTCAAAATACAAAGGAGAGGAGGGAGGAGGTGGGAGGAAGGAGGTGGGAGGAAGGAGGTGGAGGAGAAGTAGGAGAGGAAGAAGAAGGAGGAGGAAGAGAAGAAGGAGAAGCTATTGATTTATAGTTGCTATATCCTTGATGGGGGCAGGGAAAGAGCCTGAAGATGGAGTCACTACTGAGTACTGACTGAGTAGGTAGAATCTAACTCCAGATAAAGGGATATTTGCCCAGGTGGGCTAAACAGAAGCAGGTGCAGGCAGGTGGGACTTTTTCTTCTCGGGAAGTAAGGAGTAAGCACCACTGAGGGTCAGATGGAGGCATGGGATCTAACAGTCTGAGGAGAAGAACTGAAGGGCTGCTGCTCAGCAGCAGCTCAGCACAGGCCCGAGTGCCCCGGGCCCACACGGCATCTCTGTGTCAGTATCTCTTGACTCCTCCTCTCCATCTGCCTGTTGCAGGCCCCACAGCACCAAGAGTCCCCTGCCTGTTCCTCCCAGGAGCTCCCCATATCTCCATTGTCATGTCTGAGCCTCCCCGGGGCTCAATCCAGACATCTGTCCTCTTTAAGCTTGAGGTTTCTCAAGGAGGCACAGTGCACACACAGCTTTTCCTGTCCTTTCTCTCAGACACACTGCCTGCCTCTTTCAAAACTGCTCAGCTAGCACTCAGTGAGGATTGCCTGAAGACAAGCCACAGGAGGCAGGTCTAAATTCAGTAACTCCTGAAACACCCCTTCCCACCAGACTCCTGGCCCCAGGATACACAGAAACTCACTATGGCCCAGATGGGCAGCCTGTGGCGCTGTTCCCCAACCACATGGTAAGACGCTTTCATGGGCTCAGAGGACAGCCTGAGGGGTGCACCCTAAATGCCTACCCTATTCCATTTTGGAATTCCTAAGGATAGCCAGCCTTCAGGCCTCTCTTCCTCCTTGTCTCTCCAACTTGAGGCTTACTAAGACTTGGGTTTGAGTTCCTTCTTCTCTAGGATCATTGCCATTATCATGGGCGTGTGAGGGGCTTTCTGGATTCCTGGGTCGCCCTCAGCATCTGCTCAGGGATGAGGTAAGGAGTTAGGGGGGAAGCCTGAGCCTGCTGCAGGGGTGAGGGCTGGTTCTCGACACACCCCTGCACTCCTCTGCACTCTAGGGGCCTGATTGTGGTCAGTAGCAATGTCAGTTACTATCTGTACCCCTGGGCTTCCGGGGACATCGAGGACTTCGCAACCCACAAGATCTTCAGGATGGAGCAGTTGTTCCCCTGGAGAGGGGCTCAAAGAGACAAGGACTTCAAATACAAAGCAGGAATGGCCAGTCTTCCTCATGTCTCCCAGAGCCGGGTAAGGAGCATAGAATGAGGAGACAGGAGTGCAGGCCCTGGACGGGGTCTTCAGCCAAAGCTGAAGAACTAAGCTCAAGCAAAAGCTGTTTAGCTGTTTGTTCTGGGATTGGTGGCCAGTGGCCAGGACTAGTGAAGCAGCCTGCCCCTCACCATTTGCCCCTCACAGGTGAGGAGAGAGGCCCGCAAGAGCCCCAGGTACCTGGAACTGTACATGGTGGCTGACCACACTCTGGTGAGGAGAGACCTAACAGGTCTGACCCGGCTGGGCTTCAGCCTGCTCAGCTGCGTACGACCCAGGGATTTCTGCCTTCCTAGTTCCTGGTCCAGCACCAGAACTTGAACCACACGAGACAGCGCCTCCTGGAAGTTGCCAATTGCGTGGACCAGGTTGGGTGGTTAGGGTGCTGAGGGGTGGGAGTGAGGCAATTGAAAAGCTCTGCCCCCCTCCCCCCCCCCAGTGTGTGCCTGGTTCCTGGCCTCAGCCAGTCTCTTCCGTAGATTCTGAGGACCCTGGATATCCAGGTGGTGTTGACGGGCCTGGAAGTGTGGACCGAGCAGGATCACAGTCCTATCACGCAGGACGCAAACGCAACGCTCTGGGCTTTCCTACAGTGGCGTCGTGGGCTGTGGGCTAGGAGACCCCACGACTCCACACAACTGCTCACGTGGGTGCCTTTTTGACACACACGGGTTGCAGGTGGCCCCAGCTCCGCCCACTCACGCCCTGCTCCACCATCCCTAGGGGGCGCACCTTCCAGGGCACCATGGTGGGCCTGGCGCCAGTGGAGGGTATGTGCCATGCCGAGAGCTCCGGAGGTGTGAGCACGGTAAGCTCCGCTGGGGACGGGGGAGGTGAGGGGCTCGGGCAGAGTTTGCGGTCCTCAGTGAAGCCTCACTCCCCAGGACCACTCGGAACTCCCCATCGGCACAGCAGCCACCATGGCCCACGAGATAGGCCACAGCCTGGGCCTCCACCATGACTCTGAAGGATGCTGCACAGAAGCAGACGCAGAACAAGGGGGCTGCGTCATGGAGGCAGCCACAGGGTATGCACAGAAGGTCGGTGACACCGGACCTGCGTTTGTCGGCTGCGTTTCTGTGGTCACCCGTCAGTTCCCTCTTGTAAATGGAGGGTGGTAACAGCTTGTTTTTGCGGCTTCTGTGGGAGAAATGCTAATAAGGTGGCTTCTCGGAATGACTAGGGCTCTCCACTCCTGATCACTGGTTCTCCTTGGGGCCTGGGCTGCCCGATCGCCGTCACCGCCTCTTGTGCGTGATTCCTGGGAGTATCTTCCTGCTTCCCTCTTTAGACCACTCACTTAGCTTAGGAGGTCACCGCACCTCTTGGCTGCTGTGTGGCTAACCCCGGGGCCGGAGTGCAGTAGCGGCCAGGGATCGGGGGTGGCTCGTGCGCCACCGACGACTGTCTTGCCCGGCAGGTACCCGTTCCCGCGCGTCTTCAGCGCCTGCAGCCGCCGCCAGCTGCGCGCCTTCTTCCGCAAAGGAGGCGGGGCGTGCCTTTCCGCTAGCCCGGCCCCGGGGTTCCTGGTCCTGCCCGCTCGCTGCGGAGACGGCTTCGTGGAAGCAGGAGAAGGGTGCGACTGCGGTTCCGGCCAGGTTAGGATCGTCTCCGTCCCCGGGGACCGGTGCTGACCCGTGCTCCCAGCCTCCCCCAGGTCTAGCTTGCTGCCCTGTCACGTATCCTGTTCTCTCCTTTCTGACTTCAGGAGTGTCCAGACCCCTGCTGCTTTGCCCACAACTGCTCCCTGCGTGCGGGGGCCCAATGCGCCCACGGCGATTGCTGTGCGCAGTGCCTGGTGAGGGCTCCGGAAACTGTCGATCATAGCTGGGCTGGTACCTTCCTGGTCCCCTTACTGAGTGTGAGCTTGACCCTGTGTGTGAGCTCACTTGGCGCTCCCTAGGGCTTTCTGCAAAGATCCCTGACTCTCCACTGTCTCTCCCCTCCCCAACGGGTCACTGGTGCAGCTGAAGTCGGCAGGCACGCCCTGTCGTCCGGCTGTGAGCGCCTGCGACCTCCCTGAGTTCTGCACCGGCACCTCCCCGCACTGCCCCGCAGACGTTCACCTCCTGGACGGCTCACCCTGCGCCGAGGGCCGGGGCTATTGCCTGGATGGCTGGTGTCCCACGCTGGAGCAACAGTGCCAGCAGCTCTGGGGGCCCGGTGAGGCTTCAGGCTCGCTCTGGGGCCCCAACCGCTCCTGGGACCTGGGGTTTTCTCCTGGGGGCAAACTCCGTGGGTGGAACCGAGGCCAACCTGGCCCTCATCTTCATCCCGCATTCTTCCCCAGGGTCCCAGCCTGCCCCTGAGCCATGTTTCCAGGAGGTGAACTCCGTGGGGGATTCTCAGGGGAACTGCGGCCAGGATAGCAAGGGCAGCTTCCTGCCTTGTGCCCAGAGGTGAGAGTCGGCAGCCACAGAAGAGGGCAGGGCAGGTGGAGCGCTCAAAGATGCTGACCACCTTCCACTTCCACCCCAGGGACGCTCAGTGTGGGAAGCTGCTGTGCCAGGGAGGGGAGCCAAAGCCACTTGTGCCACACGTGGTGACCGTGAATTCCACAGTTCTCCTAGAGGGCCACGAAGTGGCTTGCCGGGGAGCCTCTGTGCTCCCTGGTGCTTATCTGGACCAGCTTGACTTGGGTCTGGTGGCGCCAGGCACCCGCTGTGGACCTAGCATGGTGAGCCTCACTCACCCAACCCCTCCCGTCATACCTCCTCCATACCAAAGAGTCCTCCTCACTGCCCAGTGGGCACAATGCCCATAGGTGTGCCAGGACAGGCACTGCCGGAATGCTACCTCCCAGGAGCTGGAGCGTTGCTTGACTGCCTGCCATAACCATGGGGTACGTAACCTAAGGGGTCAGGGTGACCTTGGAGGTCCTTGATCCCGAGTGACTTTTCTGTCCTCTTCTTAGGTTTGCAATAGCAATCACAACTGCCACTGCGCTGCAGGCTGGGCTCCCCCCTTCTGCGACAAGCCAGGCCTGGGTGGTAGCATGGACAGCGGCCCTGCACAGCCTGCAAGTACGCCAGCGGGGTGAGGCAGGCGGCCACCACCTCGGGAGTAGCCTGCTTGGGACTCAGCACCCCTGTACTCCACAGACCGAGTCGCCTTCCCACTGGCCATGCTCCTCAGCTTCCTGCTGCCTCTGCTCCCTGGGGCTGGCCTAGCCTGGTGCTACTACCAGCTTCCGAGACTGCGGCAGCCGATGGAATGGTGCTGCCGGAGGGGCCCCATATGTAATAGGTAGGCTCAGCGCCAGCCTCTGGGGGCTCGAGTCCCTCTCCCTGAGCCTGCCCCTGCGGGGGTTGCCTTTGCCCTAATCACTCTGTTAGACCCTTCTAGTTCCTCACACCTTTACACTCCATACCACTAGCCGGCTATGGCCCTGACTTCTCTTGTGCAGGACTAAGCGCCTCTGTCCTCTGCAGATCATGATGCCGCAAACCCAATTCTCTGGTGGGCAGAAATGCCATGAGATAACAAGCATGGCCTACTTAGAGCTGCCTCTTCACGGGACCCCTGGGCAAGTCCGGCACATTATGGCCACGTCTGAATTTGGAAGTGTTCCAGGCCAGTTGAGGGAAAGGGCAGGGCTTGGGCTAGAGATGTGAACGGAAGGCATCTCAGGCAGGGAACGGCACCAACAGGCCCCAGGAGCCAGGGAGAAGGCAGAGTAACGAGGCGGCGTGGCAGCTGGGAGGGCACTGCAGAGGCATGACAGTGCGCACCGTCATCAGGATGGGGTCTCCAAGGGCAGTGGGGAATATTCGGATGAAGCATCAGATGGCAAGGCCTTGTGAGAAAGGCACAGGCAGCCAAAGTTGGCTCGGAGTCTTTGGCAGAGCACCTAGCTGAAAGGGCGCTTGAAGGCACAGCTCCTACCCCACAGCCTACACCTCTGCATTTCAGCTCTAGATGGGACCTGAGTGGTGCCCTCATCTAGAGTGAGTGGGAGCCAGAGTGGCATCACTTTGGGAGGAACACTAGGGCTGGAGAGAGAGGATGTCCACAGCCCTGGAGGGCCCGAGTCTCAAGTGGAGTGTGGACACCTCGAGGATGGAACAGGAGTGCGGAACCTGAAGCCCGAGCGTGAAAAATCAGCCAGGAGACTGGGGCTGTGCGCCATGCTGTGGGGAAGCAGGCCTGCTTGCCTGGCGCACGGTCACCTTCCAAACTTCTCACCTCTTACCTCGCAGGCCCATCAGTAGCCCCTGCAGGGACCAGCCCTTGGGCAGTGTTCACCCCGTAGAGTCTGGCTCCATCGGCACTGGAGAGCCCTCACCCCTGCGTGAGCGTGGCACTTGGGACACAGAGAGGGCCGTGCAGGGTGGGTCCTTGCCATCTGCCTCCCTCCAGCTGCCCCTTTACTTCACTTAACACTCAACCACCTTCAATCCTGCTCAGCCCCAGGGACGCCAACAGTGCTTGTGCTCTTGCACTGTTTTCAGACCCCGAGAATTCTGTGCTTACCTAAGTAAGAACTGCCCTACCAAGCTCGTACCACACAGACCTGCTCCATCCTTATGGTAGGTGAAGGACGCTGATGCCCTCCCGCTGCCCGGTCACCAACCTCTTTCTCCTCTTGTTGCCTACTACTCAGATTATGGGCTTGTATCAATAAGGAAATGAGACATCACCCCACCCTCACCCCCGGGGAAGCTGTTGCTATGGAGACCAGGATGCTGGAAGCCTAGTGTCGAGGAAGGGAGAAGCTGTAGTTCCTTCCTGGATCCTCACTGAGGGAGGACAAGAAGGCCCTGCCCCTGACTTATGACTTGCAGCCTCAGGCCTCAGTTCTTAAGAACTCTCTTTGCCACTTCATTCTTAAGCAGTCAAGTCCAGACACCAAGATTCTGTCTCTGGAGAAGGGGAGTCTCCTGAGGCAAGGAGAAAAAGACAAGTGCCCGCTGCCTGCCACTTCAGGATCTTCTGATGGGCTGGACGCTCGGCTTTTCCCTACTAACCCCGGGGACCCCAGAGCTGTATTCCCCACCTTTCCTGAGAGCCGTACTATCCACAATGTCAGAATGTATCTAATAACAAACCTACAAACTTATCAGTTGGCTGCACTTTGCTGCAAGAGCTTGAGGGGGTTTCTAAAGGGACACTGAGATGATGACTAAGAAATTTTAAAAAAGGTTAGTTACAACAGCTGGGTGTAGAGGTGCACACCTCTGATCTCAGCACTCCAGAGGCAGAGGCAGGCAGACTTCTGAGTTCGAGGCCAGCCTGGTCTATAAATTGAACCGAGGTCCAGGACAGCCAGGGCTACACAGAGATATCCTGTTTTGAAAAAAACAAAAGCCAAACAAACAAAACAAAACGAGTAACAGCATGTACAGAGAGGAAACAAGAGCTTAGGAGGGTTCAGGCCCAGCACCAATGACAGGATGGGGCAGTCTCACAGCCCACGGGGCAGAAGTGCGGTTTGAAGATGGGGAGGTTTCACAGCATAAACCTGAAGAGGCGTAGGACAGGCAGGGGGTACCCCTTGACGCAAACTCACTCTGGTGAGGGATCCTCCCCCCAGGATGGGTGTCTATTAGCCAGGGATTCACAGTCAGGGTCTCAGGAAGTGTGTGCCAACATCCTGAGGAAGAAAAGGCTGCTGTAGAGCTCACTGCCTGAGCATACGGATTTGAACACTGCATTTGAGCGCGGGGCTCTCTCCCTAGTGTAGGGGACTTCTCTTTGCCTTCGTAGCAGCTGTGACAGAGGCTGCTGCAAATGCACAGCATATGGCCTGATTAGCCCCAGCCCAAAAGCTAACGTCAGGTCATCTTGATTTCTGGCCAGTGGCAAATACTGACTCTTCCATTACAATGTTAACTACTAATATTAACTGATAATGTGTATATAATACATGTCACACACACTACCTATGTATGTATGTATGTACATATGTAGGTTACAAAACGGTTAAAGACTTTGAAGCATGGGGGAAATGGCAAGATGGCTCAGCTGTTAAGAGTACATGTTACTCTTCCAGAGGACCAGGATTCAACTCGTAGCAAACTTATCAGGTGGCTCACAATCACTTGCAACTCCAGCTCCAGGAGATCTGAGAAATCTGGGCTACACACACACACACACACACACACACACACACACACACGATTAAAAGTAAGATAAATGTAAAACAGCACAGTTGAAGCATGAGCTGAAATTGACAAAGTGCCTGTCTAGCATTCACAAAGGCCTGGGTTTAGTCTCTAACAGGCTACAGTGTCCAAGCAAAGCAGGTGTGAGCTGCAAGACAAAGCTGCACTTATCGACAGGGCGCACACCGGACAGCAAGCAAGCGCAGGCGCACTGGACTTCTGCTTTATTCTGTTCTGTTTGAGACAGGCTTTCACAGTGTAAGAGCCTTAGCTCTCCTGAACCTCACTGTGTAGACCAGACTGGCCTTGAACTCACGGAGACCCGCTTGCCTCTGCCTCCCTGGTGCTGGGATCAAAGGTGTGTGATGGAGGAGGTGACTGTTCTTTTCAGCATTGTCTGACTTCGCAGACTTAAAAAAAAATTTTTAACATTTATTGCACATCTTATAAACACTAGATAAATTTACATCTAAAAGCTACACATGAATATACAGACACAAAAGAAAGACAGCAGTGCGATTAATGCAAGAGGGGCAAACTAAGAGGTTTAAACAAATGTGACAATCAAATCACTTTATTGCTATTAACTTTCATGAAGTTAAGTTATTCAGAAATCAAATGTACTTAGTATATCATGAATACTGTCAAAGTTTAGAATCACAGAAGCAACCAACATAGAGCTACTTATTTTGAAGATCTTTCCAATATTCAATAGGCAACTGATAGTTATTAATGTCAGTAACATCCAATGTCAGTAAAAGTTCTTATCTAACTGGATAGAAAATTTCAAGCTAAATTTGGTGGGGAAAATCTTAAATTAATGCCTCCTTTACATTATATTCCCGAGCTTTTGCACAATGCCATAGATGAAATTAAAAAAAAACCTCAGTGTATAGCTTTGTATTAACATTGCATTTTAGTTCTGAAAAACAAAAACAAAAAACAAGTATTGGGATTATTTTAAATGTGAATGACGTTTAGTAATAAAGATAGAAAAGAATGCATTTAATTCAGCTTAGCTAAATGCCTCTCACCACTATTTGCAAAGATCATAAATTATGATGGGAAATTCTATTATACCTGCCAGCAGCTTTTATTTGCACCTTATAAGACCATATTGGCTTTGCAGAACTCGGTGCTCTTATAAAGGAAATGTTGGAAAGCTGGCAGTCAGCACAAGGTGAGGTACAGTATAGGTGCTCACTATTATTAATTTAAAATTAAAAGTATTGTTTCTACACATTAAGAGTTCAACACGGTAGTTACAAGTTGGCCAGAAAACAACCCAAACCACTTTCAACATGCAAATGCACTGTTAGTAACAGCCATGACAGGAAATTTTACAAGTGGCCACTTTCAATCTCAGCTTTATAAAAATAAAGTTTCAGATCCCTTTAAACGGGCCTGTGAAAGCTGCTCCTGTAGCTGGCAAATGTGAGAAGATCAGCCTGTCCACACCTTCAGAACCGATTAGTTGCCGTGACAACACACCCTAACGCAGCGGCACCTGAAAACTGAACCTGTGCGCCTTTAGCCTGGACCCATCAACCTGCACATCTGAACAACTCCCACGCCTCCTGGAAAACTAGATCAAATGGACTTGAGAAATAATGATTTCAAGTATCCAAAACTTTTTATCATTCTTGAACCCTAGTTGACCTGAGTTTGAAAAAATATGTATGGAGATTTTAAACAACCTATCTAACTCATCATACCTAAGTGTTCTTTACCGAAAAGTCACCAGTTTTGCGCTACGTTTCTTGATAGTCACAAGAGCTGTCAGACAGGAATCACCTCCGTCAAATCTGCTGCTGACTGGTGATCTATAGTTTTATGTTGCATACACTTTGTCTTACTAGAAAACAGAAGAATCATCTGGTAGCTGTTGTACTTACAAAATGGCCATACTACTTCAGAAGCAGTCCTCAAGCCAGCATCAATTAGAGGTATCTGCAGAGCTGGTTATCCGGTACCTTAGTTTTTCCTTCTTTTGAAATAGAGTCTAATTATATTGCCACGGCTGGCCTTGAACTCCTGAACTCAAGTGATTCTTCTACTTCAGCATCCCAAGTAGCCTGGACCTACAGATGGCACCACCACGCTCGGCTTTCAAATACCCATTTCTCTAAAAAATTCAATTTACAAAATAGTATGTAAACTCCATGCACAAAAATCTCATGAATCATATAATGCAAGAAGGAAATGATCATTTAACTGGATATGTATTTTTTAAAAAAAGTGCAAAGGTTTATTTAATTATCACCTAGTAACAAATTCCTCTAAATTAAAAGGAAAGAAAAAGGAACAAAATATACTCTTTAATGAATATCAAAGAGCACTAAGGAAAGTTAGAAAGTTAAATTATCAGAGATTTGAAAGAAGTTTTTGTTTTGATTTTCAAGATAAGGTTTTTTTGTGTGGCCCTGGTTGCCCTAGACTTGCTTTGTAGACCAGGCTGGCCTCAAACTCACAAAGATCTGCCTGCCTCTGCCTTCCCGAGTGCTGGGATTAAAGGCATGCACCACCATACCTGGCTTTGAAAGAACTTTTAACTAGTATTAAAATCATGAACTGGTATCCATTTCTATTTTCTAATAAGAGTATTATATGAATAGAAGTAAAACTGCAAGCTTATTGTAGAAGGTTAAATGGTTTATAAGATGATTAAAACTACTTAATAAAAATGAACTATTTCAGATCCTTAAGTAAATGATATGGTATTCAAAGAGTTGTTTAAAAATAGCCTTTAACGATTTTAGCTTTAGTAAAAATTACTAATTGCTAAATGACAAACATACGTAAGTATATTCTCACACTCTTTCTCTAAAGGTTGGGAAGGGCTCAACACCACGATCTGCTTCATACCCCATCTGTATCTCCGCAAAGTTATAGAAGCTGTCAACATCTCCAGAAGCTGTCTCCTTCTTTTCCGACACAAACATCTTTGTCTCGGTGAACATCTCATTTACGATAAGGTGACATCCTTCTACAGCACCATCTCCGTTAAATTCCAAGGCAATCACGGGCCCTTTGTTCAGAAGAAGCTCACAGTCAGATGCCTTTTCCCTGAAAACCCTTTGCGCATCTTCAGCTTTCATTGATACTTCCTTTGTCTGCACTAGGAAAAAGCCTCTAGCAACCATCTCGTCAATTAGTTTCCTCGCATTTGCAGTCGCGTGATCATCAGCAAACAACACGACGAGACACGACTCGTCACTGTTCTTCTGTCTCTGGCCCCGGGATATGGGGACAGTGCTTCTACTGGCTTCTGTGGAGACTCGCACAGCTTTGAATTCTTCAGTAGCTGGGACAGGAACGTAGTCTTGAACCATGGCGTTTTCCGGAAGGAAGCTCCAGTTGAGCTCTCCTGACACAGGCGTGAAATCATAAACGTGACTCCATATGTTATTGAAGATGCTAAGCCCTGCGTCTTTGAACTGGGCTGCTAACTCAGGGTAGTACCACTGAAAACAGCCAAACTTGATGTTTGTAGAAGACTCAATAATGGGCTGAGTGGCACAGCACAGAAAGACTTCCAGCTTTCTACAGTCCCTCACTCGAAACTGCTGGCAGGCCAGCGTGCACTTACAATCTCTACAATTTCGGAAGAACACGCTGCCTTTCACTGGTCCCAAAAAAACTACGCAGTTAGTGCAGTCGTCAATGGAAACAGTAGCCGAGTGATCCAAAATATAGATATTACAGTTCTCACAGTCCTGGATGACAAATTGTTGTCCTTCCACTTTTCCAGGTAAGCGACCTACTGTTTCACCCTTCAGCCCGCTGAACGTGTAATCCTTCGGGTCAACCTTCTCCCGCTGGTCCCAGCTGTAGAGCTTGGGCTGTTCCTCTTCTCCCTCGGCCAGAGACTCCTCACTCTCCCGCTTCTTAGAGAAGCAGCAGCCCATGGCGCCGGCCTAAGGTTAACGGACCCCACTTGCTTGGATGCCTCTCAGAGGGTGGCGAGGACCCAGGGCTACTCCAGCAGCTCCACCGACACCGTCCAGGAGAGCAGCCCGGCACGCACACTCACGCACCGTCACGCACCGTCATGCACCCGCACGCACCCTCACGCATCCGCACGCATCTGCACGCACCCGCACGCATCCCAACTCCCGCCACGCCTTCTTTTTACCACCCCTTCTGACTTCAGTCTTTAGAGGTTAACTACTTTAAAAAGCTCAGTGCAAAAGAAATGAAAGAAAGGAAGAGAGAGAGGAAAAAGAGGGAAAGAGAGAGAGAGAGAGAGAGAAAGGAAGGAAGGAAGGAAGGAAGGAAGGAAGGAAGGAAGGAAGGAAGGAAGGAAAGAGAGAGAGAGAGGGGAAGGAAGGAAGGAAGGAAGGGGAACTGCTGTGTGGCAACTTCTAGGCTGGTTGAGAGAGAATAGCCAGAGGCATTTAGGGGAGTCCAAAGAGGCCTTTGGGGAATAGAGAGAGTAGCAAAAAGGTGGGGGAAAGTCTTGACAGGAAGAAGCTGACGCTGGAACATCCTGGACGTTTAGGGTAGGGTAGGAGTTGTACAGGCCAGAAGAGGCTGGTGGCTTTACTGTGCATTATGGGAACCATAGTAAAGGCTGAAGGAGCCTGGAGTTTAGCATGGGGCTTTGCGTATGTGCTAGTAGAGGAACAGGGTGCCCATTTGTCAGAGGTGAGGGGAGATAAAGGAAGAGGCACTTCCTGGCAGGCAGAAAACATGTTTAACAAGTTCCTGAGGAATGCTGAGTGTAAGCTTGCATCCATCAGCCAGCAACCCTTCTGAGCCCAGACTGTCATTCTGGACATTGTCAGTGGCACTGCCATTTGGGGGCTTGGGACCTAACAGTGACTCCATGTTCAGTAACACTTTTATAACAGGTAAGAGAAGATGCACAGTTAAAAAAAAAAAAAGACAGAGGCCTTGGGTGTGGTGGTGCACATCAGCATCTGGGACGCTGAAGCAGGTGGATCTCTGTGAGTTCAAGGCCAGCCTGGTCTACATAGCAGGGCCAGCCAGGGAGAGAGAGAGAGAGAAGGGGGGGTATTGGAACAAAGACTGTTTGCTAATGGTCAAGGGAAATCAGGACCTTTTGCCCTATCACAGCCAAGGAGCCTGACAGAGCTTGTGAATTCATGGTTACTCATTCAATTCTACACCGTGGGAAAACACAAGCATGCCCCTCTGGATCACAAAGTACACAGAGGGAAGACAGGAACTGCAAATGGCCATGGGTAGGTGTGAGGGGGAGGGGCACTGGCGGCTACGGAGAATGTGACAATCTGGTTCTGGATCAGAAAGTCTGATCCAGAAGGAAAATGCAGTGTACGTGGCTGCCTCCCATATGGCTGCCTTTGGCTCTGAGGAGTGTCAGGGCAGAAAAAGAAGTGAGGAGAACAGGGTCTGTCTTAGGGTTACATGGCTGTGAAGAGACACCCTGGCCACGGCAACTCTTATAAAGGAAAACAATTAATTGGGGCTGCCTTACAGTCTAGTCCATTCTCAGCAGGTCAGCAAGCAGGGCCTCGAGCGGGCAGATGTGCTGGCAGAGGCCAGAGTGCTGCAGCTTGGTCCACAGGCAGCAGGAGACTGTGTCATAATAGGCCTAGCCTGAGCAAAGCCCGCCTCCACAGTGACACACTTCCTCCAACAAGGCCACACCTACTCCAATAAGGCCACACCTCCTAATAGTGTCACTCTTCATGGGTCAAGTCTGTTCAAGCCACCAGAGTCCTCACACATCCTGGAGATGTACTGTTAGAATCTAGGCCACCATGCCGGCAAGCACCCTTACCCTCCTCCCAGACACGGACAGGCACTGACTAAGACACTGTGACTCTCTAACTAATGGACTATACAGGTGTAAGAGTTTCTCACCTAAGAAAGTGAGTTCACACCAAGGAGAGTTTTGGAGGCCATACCATCTACCCCACCAGCTTCCCTGCCCCCTGTTGGGGCATCACGGAACCCGGCTTATGTTGTGAAATAACCCCATCCTCAGACCCTGCCATGGAGGCCTGGACCTGCTGCAGAGCCCTCTGCCTTACTGTCTGTGGTTCAGGTGCCTGGCCCCCTCAGTGTGAGCATCCCCCACACTGTTCTTTGTGATGGAAGTTTTGCCTGAGAATTTCTCAGGCTCTGCGAACAAAAGACCCATGGGGTCTGAGAGAAAGGTCAGCCCAGCCCTTTCCTACTTCCAGAACATCAGGAAGATGGCTGGTGTTGTGTGCAGCTCTGCAAGGGCAAAGGTGGCTCTCCTGGGTGCCAGAGGTAAGAAGAAAAGTGAGTTTACTATTCCTGACAATAAAAAGTTAAACCCCTTGCTCTGTCATGTGGCAATAAGGGGGTGAGATCACCAGGTCACATAGCGGCCTTCAGCCTTTGGTGTTCGGCCTTAGTGAGCTAGGAGGACCTGGGAGGACATAGGCTCTCGGAAAGGTAAGAAAAATGACAAATGGAAGATGGATGCCTGTTGAAGGAACGAGCCCAACTGGGCTGGACCTGTCAGGAAGCCCTTCCTGGGTTTTCTGCATCAAATGTAAAAAGGAAGTCCAGGGAGAAAAGAGGAGAATAAAGACTCGGTTCAATCCCACGGCCAGGTGCTCCAGGAAGCTGGAGCATGCTCCCATCAGAGTCTGAGAACAGCTTTTGTCGTGAGAGCAGGGAGGGACAGACGCTGCTTTTCTGAATAAACTGCTTGGGGGAGGACATTACATCAGACTGCCGTACTGGCTCCAGAGCATGCGCCTGGGGGCTGCTTTCCTGAAATCCCTGAGTAGTAGGTTTCCTGGAGCCTTGGGCCTTGTTTACAGCCTTGAGTTTAGGGATGTTTTCCTTAGAGACCAAGGGAAGTCAGAGTCCCTTGTGAAGCACAGAGCATCATTCCTCCTGCAGGGAAGGAGGGCGAGCTGGAGGTGCTGGGATAAATGTATTTCTAAGACTAGACATGATAACACTGCAAAACACTCATGTGCACACGCTAATCTGGGCCGGAGGCATGGAAGAGTACCTAAATTAAGATTAAAGCTATGAACTATCTAGATTGTAAAAGCTGAAGAGATGGAAAATCCAAGGCAAGTCAGCTTCGTTGTGCAGGTCCAAAGGACACTCCAATTCCCCAGACTCCCGAACACAGCTCAGATATCCAGAAATAAGCTCAGCCTGGATGACAGGAAGGTTTGTGGTTAGATGAAAGACTGCCTTCCTCAGGAGCTTGTCAAGCTGCTTCCCCTCTACCCAAAAGAGCCGTTTCCCTTACCTCTGCCAGAAGGGACACATGGCTACCTGTGGCACCTATCAGTATATCAAAGCGCATGCTGGCTTCCAGATGCCTGTAGTATCTCAAGTACCTGTTACCACATCTCAAAGTGCATGTTAGCACCCTAGCCCTTCTCACCTCCTCCCCTACCCTAAACTCCTCCCAGCTCCTGGGCTTCCCTCCCAGCCACTCTTCTCTCTGTAACTCAGCCATTTTGACTGTCAACACACACACACACACACACACACACACACACACACACACACACACATACACACACACACCCCGCTCTGCTTCTCTCGCCGTGTTTTCTCTGTTCTCTGTCCCCTATTCTCCTCTCTCACAGCTAGCCCTGCCATGTCCGGTCTGCTGGCCGTGCTCAGTTACTTCCTTCGCTCTCTGATCTGGACTCTTCCAGATGCCTCTGGTTTTTCTCTCTTTCTCATTTCTGTAATGAAAACCTGCCCCTTATCCGTACCACGGAGAAGCCTTGTCTTCTTTATACAGGTTTTTACATAGTTCCCTTAAAAGGGGTTAAAGAAACAGGCTGAACACACAGTCAGACAGCAGGCTAAGTCCCGACTGATCCCATGGCATATGAACTTGGCTGTGAGGGCCAGCAAAAGTTCAGTCTCTGAATGAAGGAGACATTTTTATAAAATTCTATCCCTGCACACAGCAGCTAAAGGCCAGCCTGGGAAACTCCCAACTGTGATGAGTGAGGCGCAGCCTACCAACTGCCTTCACACAGGAGAGAGCCAATTGTGGTGAATAGGCCAAGGCCAGGCCACTAGTTGCCTTTTCTAGGCCTGCTAAGAATTGCATTTATATTTTAAATGGCTTTTTAAAAAGAAAACTATGAACGTGACAATTAGCATAAACTTTAGTGTTCCGAAATAGAATTTTGTTGGAACACAGCCATGTTTTTTCTTGTGTTGATTGCGTGTGGGCCTTCTGTGCTATCAGGACTGGTCTGCAAAGTCTCGAATAAACCCTAGTCCATTCAGGCCCTCCTGTAGATGGTGCATGATCAACGTCCCCGTGTCTCCTCAGTGCTGGAAGGAAAATCATCTCTTGTCTCAATGCAAAAGGTGGAACGAAAGATGTGTGGATATTTTGTCCCAAGCCCAGGCCTTCCCTTCCCGGCAGGGCTCCAATCTGTCCCGGTCTGCCTGCACTGACTCTAGGCTGTGCTTGGCTGACTGCTTACCTGGCACGGAGCCCTCCTTGGCCCTATGCTCTGCCAGTCCCCAAGCCTGGCCCTAGGTCAGTGGGCTGAGCCAGCCCCACCCTCGGCTTCCCAGCAGCTGGCAAGCTCTGCCTGGCCCTGCCCTAGTCTCTCCACACCTGCAGGGTTCTTCCAGAGGACCAGAGGTTCTCAGCAACCACGTTGGCTGCTCACAACGCCAGCTCCAGGGCCTATGGTGCCCTCTTCCGGCCTCAGGGAGCATACACACAGACATAAAATATTCAATGTGTCTTTATTTATTTTATAATGCTGTGTCTCAATCTGACCAGAAGAAAATGTAAGACTAACTGAGTAGAAATAGTCCAGAAAACAACTAGTCAGAATTCTTATCAAGGATGGGGATAAGGTGAGGGAGAGCTGAAACATACAGGGAAAATTGGGACGTGCTTCCTAAAAGGGTTGTGTCCTTTCTCCTGGGAATGGTGGCAAGGAGGACCTGGGTGAGAAGGTAGGGGGGAGAGGACTCAGGAGTCTTATAAAATGTCTGGGCCCCCAGGCAGAACCCCAAGTCTCAGTTTCCCTTTTATGCTGATGCTTGATGTCAACTTGTACTCCATAAAATGCTTCCTTTTGTCCTCTCCAAATTTTGGTCTGTTTTTCCTGGACCGTCAATTATTTACCTTTCTCACAGAATGGACCAAGATTCCTGTTACAGAAGATGGCTCAACTGGTAAAGTCCCACACAAGTGTGAGAATCCACAGCAATCCTATAAAAAGCTGAGCGAGCAACCTTGGGAAGGTGAAGACAGGGCAATCCCTGGGGCTTGCGGGCCATTTCAGCTGAAACAGAGGCCCCTGACATTGATGATGAGCACACATGCATGCACGTACACACACACACACACACACGTGTATACTCCCCACCCCCACCCCCATTATTGTTTGAAGAAAGAATATAGATTTTTAAAAGTACCGAGAGATTGCCTCACTTAGGAAGAGGCATGACAAAGGCAGTGCAGGATTCTGGATCTGAATTTGTTCTTTCATTTTCTTGATTGTGTGTATGTGTATGTGTGTGAGAGAGAGACAGAGAGAGAGAGAGAGGAGAGAGAGTGTGTGTGTTGGGTGAGGGGAGAGTGTGAGTATGTGTGCCTTGTCAGAGGACAACTTTAGGCAGTTGGTTTACTTCTGCTATATGGGTCCGGTGTGAGGGCCAAATAAATGATGATGTGCATGGCAGATTATATATGAAAGAGGTTTATTAGATGGAGATGAAGAGAGAGGGAAGGAGAGAGAAGGAGAGAGCAAGACATGATGGGGGAAGAAAGGGAGGTGCCCCAACAGAGAAAGGGGAGAGGCCAAGAGAGAGACAAAGTGGTGGGTTAACCCTTTTAAAGACTTAACCACACCTGCCAGGTGTGGCTACCTGGTGGGCGACACATGATGACATCATAGGTTGCTAGACAACCCAGAAGCAGGGTGCCTAAATACTAACATCTGGTCTGGGCTCAGCTTGTCAAGCCTGGTATAGCAGGAGTCTGTACGCAATGAGCTTTCTTGCTATCCTGTTTTTTGAGACAAGATCTCAGTGTAGCCCAGGCTGGCCTCAAACTCCTAATCCTTCTGCCTCCTCCTCCCAAACTGCTGATTCCAAGTGCTTGGTGTGTAGGTGTATGCCACCATGCCCTGGTCTTGGAACAGAAAAGGACCACAAGGCAAAACTGGAGAATTTAGGCAGCCTATAGTTTATTTCACACTGTACCGGTGCTATTCTCCACGTGCTGATCCTCACGTCACGACCATGCCAGAGCTGAGTCTAGAATCCGGGTGGACGGGATCTGTGCAACTTTTCTGTAAGTGTAAAACCAGTGAACAAAAAGCTGACAATAAAATTATAAAGAAAGAAAAAGAACTATCGATTTCCTAGTCCAGCATGGGAGAAACAAGCTGTCCTGGGGTCGCCGAGTGTTGCTGGGTGTGTGAGGCTTCCTGGGGACGTACCACACAAATGCCTCCTCATCTCAGACAGGGAACTGATAATGGCCGAAGAAAGGGTTCTACTAACGTCCAACTTGGCAAATACATTTGGGGGATTTGGGTATTATTATTTATTAATTTACTTATTTGAGATTATTTGGATTACTTACAACAATATGGATGATGGGCTACTTACAGGGACACGAATGTCACTGAAACATGGGTGATGACCCTAGAGCTCTCTGCATGGCTGGCAGGCAGCTGCAACCCTAAAGCTCTCTGCAGGGCCGGCAGCCAGCCCTGCCTATCAGGGATGTCTCCTTTCAACAGTTGCCTGTAACCCTGAGAAGGGGCCCCGTGAATCTCACACATTTCAGCTTTCCTGGACTTGTGAGCTTTCATTCTTGTTTAATGTTTGAGTCTCACCAAGCCCCCCTAGCCTCCCTACCCCCAGAAGGAACTTTTCCCACTAGCAGCCAACAGCTTGCCTTCAAGGCAGTCTAGTACTCTGGATCCATCCAGGAAACATCAGGCCCTTGGCTGAGGGACTTTGGAGCCACCTGAAGGTAAAGCCTGGGGGTGGGGACAGAGTGAAGAGAGCAGGATGTGGCTTCCTCTATAAAGGCTCCTCTCAAGAGCCAGGAGCACAGCCATCAGCAGGTGCCGCCGCCCTCCGGGCTTAGTGGGTTCTAGGAAGAGGCCCCTGTCCAACTGGGGCTCTGCCAATCCTTATGGCCTGCTGCTTGGAGTCTGCACTGCTGCTGCTGCTGCTGCTGGGTGAGAGCCTGTGTCCTCCTTGGCCCTGGCCCTGGCCCCTGCCCTCTCGGGCCCTGATCCTCAGGGACTAGGTGGGATTATAAGAGAGTGACTGTAAAGAAAAACCTGCATCTCTGGAAGGGATGCTGGAAAACGGCTTGTGATTTGCAGCCAGGGACCTGTAACACTCCGCCCCTGCTGTACATGGCCTGGCAGCTCATCCCGGGGTTCAGCTGAGCCACCCCTCCCAAAGCTAGCCTTGATGCCTGTGCCCCGGGAACTTTTCCTCTCTCTCCCCTGTCTTGCTCTGTGGAGCTTCACACTGATTCACGGTGGCTCTTCTGTGCCTCACAGCTGATGCTCTACCCCCACGGCAGCCTCTTCTCCACGAGGGCATCACAGGAAGGGGTTACCTTTTGTGGTGTGGTGTGGAGAATGGATAATGGGAAGGCAGAGCAGACCTTAGAGCTGGGACGTGCCACGTTGAGAGGAGCACATTTAAGGGGAGTGGATGAGAGGCCAGGCTGGGCATTTTTCCTAAGTCTGGGATACCAGCGGCCATAGCAAGAGGATGGGAAAAGGATAACCCTGAGTTTGGTGACTTGGGTCTTGGCTGGATTTAGATATATGCAGTGGCAAGTTTGGGCACAGCTGCCAGGCCTACCAGTCTACTCCCAATGTCAGGCATTCTCTTTTCCCCAAGTGGGCTGCCATCTTGCATTTACCTACATCCTCACCAGAACTACACCTGAATGTCCGGTGTGTGTCTCAGGATGAACTCAAGGGTCTGTCTGAACCCACATCTGGAAGCCTGAGCCTTGAATGTGCTCTTCAATATACAACACCCTTCTGGCGAATGCCATGCTCAGAGCCCCCTTGCTCCAGACTTGGATGGGGCAGGATGGGTTAGACTCAGACCCTAGGAGCACCTAGCACAGGGGACAGGACGCACAGGTCAGGATGGAAGGAGGACCAGGAAGCTGGAGATTCACCCAAGAGGTTTGCACGTGTCAGAGAAGGGAACATCAGAGTGTCAAAAGGATGAGGGGTGCCACTTCCAACATCTCCATTAGCTGAATCGGTTAGCCTCAGTATCCTGTCAGTCGGAGCTGGAGGGTGGAAGAAGCCCAATAGACCCTATGTGGACGCATGTGGCAATTCTGGTGATGTGCTGGAGGCTGGACCTCAGCTTCCGGGGAAAGGTCAGGCCCAGCCTTCTAGCGTTGCACCCACTCACCACACCGGTAGATATCCCCAGGACCGGCCCCTTCAGGAACTATGAACTCTCTCCCCTTGGGGTTTGGGCACCCCCAAAATTCTGGGGTGTGGAAAAGGGGGAAGCAAGCAGGAAGGACTGCAGCCTGCCCGCCCCTCACCAGGGTCTGCGAGCTCCGCCGGCGGGAATCGCTGCGTGGACGCGGCCGAGGCGTGCACGGCAGACGCGACGTGCCAGCAGCTGCGCTCGGAGTACGTGGCCCGATGCCTGGGTCAGGCGGCGCCCGGGGGCCGTGGCGGGGCCGGGGCCTGCGCGCGCTCCCGCTGCCGCCGCGCCCTGCGCCGCTTCTTCGCCCGCGGGCCTCCGGCGCTCACGCACGCGCTGCTCTTCTGCGGCTGCCGGGACCCTGCGTGCGCCGAGCGCCGGCGCCAGACCTTCGCGCCCGCCTGCGCCTTCGCGGGCCCCGGGCCGGTGCCGCCCTCCTGCCTGGAGCCCCTGGAGCGCTGCGAGCGCAGCCGCCGCTGCAGGTGCGTGCGGGGCGGGCCGGGCCGCTCACCGCCGTCCGGGCGCGCGCAGGCCCCGTCTCCTTGCCTTCCAGGCCTCGTGCGCTCCGGCGCCCGGCTCCCCCGACGGCTGCCCGGAGGACGCGGGCCCGCGCTGTCTGCACGCCTACGCAGGCCTCGTAGGTACGCCGGACTGGCGGGCTCGGGCGGGGCGGCGGGTTCCGGGCCCCCGTCACACGCCCTGGGGTCCCTGCAGGCACCGTGGTCACCCCCAACTACCTGGACAACGTGAGCGCGCGCGTCGGGCCCTGGTGCGGCTGCGGGGCCAGCGGAAACCGCCTCGGAGAGTGCGAAGCCTTCCTCCAGCTCTTCACCAGGAACCCCTGCTTGGGTGAGGGGCTGGAGAGCTGGGGTGGGGGGAGGAATTGGTGGGGAGCGGATATGTACGGCTCCATCCAAGTCACCTGGCCCGCGGGGTCCCTTAAGATGTTCATGTTGCCTTTTATTTGGCATGATGAGGGGCAGTGTGCATATGCCACGGCGCATGGGTGGAACAGAGGACAGCTTGAGTGAGTCTCTCTTTCCACTGGGATAGAACCGGGGTCGTCAGTTTTGGTGGCAAGTGCCTTTACGTGCTGAGCCATCATGCTGGCCGATGTGAGCCCGTTTTTGTTGTTGTTGTTGTTGTTGTTGTTTTAATGGAAGGAAACAGTTTTTGAGCAGCTAGTATTTCAGGGGACCAGGTAGCAGATCACAAGAGAATCTTAGAGGTGTCAAGAATCCTAGAGGGCTTGAAGGGTTGAGTGAAGAGTTGGCCTGGAACTGACCCAGACTCCCACTTTGGCACTACTGAGGTCCTTCCCTCCAGGTGCCCCCCCTCCCCATTACGACACTGTTCTTGCCCGGGGTGGAATGGCCCAGTTCCAGATTTCTGGAGGCATGTTTGAAGCCTGTCTCTGCCGATTGTGTTCACCTGTAAGGTGGGGGTGACGCTTGTCAGCCTCTGCCGTGAGGATGAAGACCACCAGTTTGTGGGTCACTCTTGCACAGTGACCTTCCATTTCAGGCGATGCCTTGCAGGTCACCCGGGGTGCCTCAGTCTGTTGCAGAGAGGTAGGGCCCTTTTCTAGGGCTTTCTGGCCAGGCCTCCCTTGGCTTTCTCCACTCCGTAGATGGTGCCATACAAGCCTTTGACAGCTTGCAGCCGTCAGTTCCGCAGGACTGGCAGAACCCCTACCAGAACGCTGGGCACCGTCTCCCACAGGTAGGTGTGGGGAGAGGATGGGGAGCTGGCAGTTTCTGCACCGTCCCCTTCTACACTTAACCCTTACCAGGCAGACGGGAGTAGGGCCGTGAGTGGCCTGGGAAGAGATGGAGGCAGAAGCAGCCTCCATTTTGTCCTCACCCTCAAGGTGTCCTCGCTGTCCGTACTCACTGCCCTGGCTCTCCAGGCCCTGCTCTGACTAGGAGGGCTGACCGTGGACCGACCGCACAGCTGACTGCCATGTCCCTGGCTTGCTGCTCGCTGAACTCAAACTGCCTTGCCCTGAGGTCTGCTGTTCTTTGTAGGTCTGGACACCTGTGTGCCTGTGGCCTGGACTGAGGGCTGGGGGCTAGGGTCTGACTGAAAAGCCTCTGCTTCCCCTGTCAGTAGGCATCTTGGTTGTTTTCTTCATCATCCTTGAGATGATCACCTGTAGAGGAGGCCTGGCTGGGCCCCTTGTGCTTAGAGAGCAGGAGAGAGACTAGCCTCCGCCTAGAATTTGGAGCCATCTTCTTCGGAGCAGAGAGCATATGGACAGACCGACAACAGGCAAGACTGCCTCCCGTTAACACTGCAGCCGACAGACCCTCCCAGGTTCCTCGGCATTAAGCCTACCATGGCCCAGGACTAGCACTGACGTTGCTTGCCGCCCACGGCATTAAAGAGGGAAGCTCAGGCCCCTCCTGCTCAGCAGCCCACTGGCTCCACAGCCTTTCCCCCTGTGGTTTCCCCAGCACCAGGTGCGGCACACCACCAGCTCAATAAACCCATGTGCACTGAGAGCAGCCTGGTTTCTCTGTCATCTGACCGGAATATGTGGACTCCTGTGTGGCCTTGGATACCCCGGAACTCTTCTTGAGTCTGAATACCTGAGAATGAACACACCCAGCAGCCAACCACTGAGACTTTCTGAGTGCACGTATTTGCAGCTCCTTTGCACACTCAAAGCTGATGTTTGCTGGTATTATCAGCCGCCCCTGGCTTCAGTCATGTCTCTCCTAAGTGTAAACAGGTCAGAGTGGTTGGAGCAAATGGCTGGGCAAGCTGGGCTTCAGGCACATCTGTCTCTAGGGTTCAGGGATCTTGAGATTGCTAGGCAGGTTAGGAAGCTACCACGCTTTATGTGCTCTTAGCATCTCCACAGAGAATTCTAAGAGAAAGGCGCCACTCCTTCCCAGCACTCACAGATGACACGCTAACGGCCCAGTGTGGGTCGTGGGCCCTTCGCGGGGGAGAGTCACAGCCAGAAGGTCACCTGGTGTGAGAGGATGGTTTCCCAAAGAAGGTATTGGGCAGAGTGAGAGTGAAGCTGGGTCCAGACTCTTCCCATTTCACAAAGAGGAGAGAAGACCCTCCCCCACCTGCACAGAAATGGACGCCTGTGCCTGTGTGGGTGGGGAGAGACAGTGTGTGGGAGCCAGGGAATAATGAAAGTGCCATTCTGCCCTGCTCACTACAGCCACGAAGCGGCTCAGACACAGAAAACATCTGTTAAGTGATTTCCTTACGAGTGTGCCCAACTCCACTGCTTGTTTGACTTTGATTTAGCATAAATGTAGACCTTGAATTTTATGTGTGTGCTGAGTAAGCATATGTGTACCGTGTGCATGCAGGTGCCCACAGAGACCAGGAGAGGGCATTACCTTGGAACTGGAGTTCTAAGAGGCTGTGAGCCATTTGATGTGGGTGCTGGGAATAGAAGCCAGGTCCTCTGCAATGCTCTCAAACACTGAGACATCTGTAGGCATTTTTAAAAAGTGGAAATGATTCTAAATAAGACTACAGTGCTGAAGAGAAAGTGTAGACATAAGCCTTCCAAGACTAGTAGGAAGACGAACAGAAAATCCTAAAGTTCCCTGGCAGCTGGTAGTCGCTGTCCTAGGGCCAGGCACCTGCAAATGTATCACACACTGGGGCCAAAGGGTCACCCTATATGGTAAAGGTGGGATTACGGTACAGGTCTTGAGGAGGGTTAGCCAAGCAGGCCCTAGACACAATCTCATGTTCCCCCTAATAAACCAGTGCAGAGGGAGGTAGTTCAAGGACAGGCAGAGCTTGGAGCGATGCAGCCATAGGCAAGGGATTATGATGTCTGAAGCCACTGCGATTTACAGGAGGCGGAATCTGGGTCCTAAGAGCCTCCAGCGGGGCACAGCTCTGCCAGAATGCAGAAAGCAAACTACCAAGACTGGTAACTATTTCAGGAGTCTCAGGAAATGAATAAAATCGACTGTTTTCTTATTTGATTTCTGTTACTTCTACGTAAAAAGGTCCCGGTTTGTATGGTGCTTTTAAGGTGGAGCCAGCTTTAGCTTCTCCATCTCCCCTCCATCACAAATCAGCCTCCACATCCTTCCAGGAAGCCATCCTGTGTACACATTCTCAGACCGTGTCCTGGCACCGTGCCTGGGTCCCTGTTACCTGTTGTCGGCACTGATTTCACAGCTGGCAGGTGGCGTGGGTGAGCCTGAGGCAGAAAGGCAGGTGCTAGAAGCGCCCATGGGTTTATCGGTGGAAACTTCATGGCTCATGTATGCTTCCTCTGGCTTGAGGCCCAGCAGCCAGGTGCACTGTTGATGTGGGCTGCTTACAGCCCACCCTTTCCCCACCCTCCTGAAATGAGTCCGGCACAGTCAAGTTCATTAAACCAGCTCACTGTTGCAGGAAATATGGACCCTGACAAGTGAAATTGATAGAGGACAGAACATCCACAGGAGGGGAAGAGGACGGTAATGAGAGCAGCACAGAGAACACAACTCTCAGAAACGGGGGTGACCACCTGACCCGAGGTGCAGGCCCCAGGCCCAGGGTGATTGCCCGTGTGCCCTCGCTCCTCCTCACATATACTCTGCCATCTGGTGATGAGATAAAGGACAGTAACCCCACTGTCTTCTCAGATTGCCACCTCTGAGTGGGTTCCGATTTCTCTTACTGGTTGTTATAAGTGGAGAAATTATGAACCAAATTCTGTTGACAAAATTCTAGAAGGCTAGGACAGTGGCATCACACAGTGTCTGGGGTAGTCCCTGACACAAGCATTTCAGTGAGCCGGGCATGCCTACCAAAGGCAGCAGGGACACGGCCCCCATGTTGTGGGGCTGCAGACTTACCTAGGCCCAGTTTCTCTGCTAGGTCCACATTCCCTCAAACTTAAAAGAGTCAGGTGTTAAGATACACTTGTGATCTCAGTACTAAGGAGGTTAAGGCAAAAAGGTGAGTTTGAGGTAGACTGTATAGTGAGACCTTTTTTCAAAATGGGAAAATAACCAAATGAGTTCCCGGACGAAGGAGTGTACAGACAATTACGATGATAGAATACAAGACTCAAAGGGCAGGGATTGAGCAAAGAACCCTTAACTCACAGGTAGGTGGTGGGATGTTTGGAGCAGTTTCCTTTGAGGTGAAAATCTTCCACCTTGGAGGTAAACTTCTCAAGACACAGGATGTAAAAGAGAAGTGGAGCAGGATGTTTTAGGATGTTTGTAAGAAGGTGAGACTCTCCAACCTACAGAGAAGCTTGTAAAGTAATCTCAAAATATCTTCAGGAAGTTCCTGAAACTGATCAGATTCACTAGGCCATTCCTTTCCTAAGAGTATACAGGCAGTAAAGACTGCTGAGAGTCACTGTCAGGTGACTACAGCTCACCTGGACAAACTTGATCCCGTGGCGAGGCAGATCCACCCTGCTCTCCAGCCCACTTGGCACTACCCAAAGTTGGACTCTGCTACTCATTCAGCACGCTCATCTCTGAGCTACCCACATACGTGCTCCATGAAGCACTTCCTCAGTTGTCTCATGTCCAGAACGGTCTTTCCCACCTTCACGAGAAATGTTCCATCCCCTTCTTTTGTCCCCCCAAGGCCTCATGTATGCTGGACAAGTGCTCAGCTGCTGAGCTACACCTATAGCGCACACTAGTTCTTACCTGTGAAAGGGTTAGACTAACTTTGTAACCTGTATGTTTTCTAAAGCCTATAGTTTTAAGTTTTAGGTTCAGGTTAAGCTAAAGCCTCTTAGTACCTTTCCAGAGAATGGAAAAATGTGACCCTATCTATGAGGACAGAGAAAAAAAGGCAAGCAAGCAATGACCTTCACTCAGCAAAAAGAAAAACTCCTGTCTTTGAGATAGCATTTCTTAGCAACAAACCTAGACTTCTTCTGAGTAGCTTTTGACCTCCAGCCAAAAGTCTGCAGCCCCTAATCTTCAAGGATGAGCTAACCACCCCCACCTTCAATTGCAGCTGCATCCACGCTTGGCAGAACTGGCCAAGCTTGAGCACCTAAGACTAACCAATTATGTTACTTTATAGCTTCCTCATCCAATCCTAAATCGCCAAAACTGCAACTTCAAATCTCCCGCAATTTTTCTTTTAAAAATCTACAGGCCTTTGTCTCCCAGTGCCACTCTTTGCTGACCAGCAGGGGTGACCCCATTGCACAATGGTTAATAAACCTCTTGCTTTTGCAACGAGTCTTGGTCTGGGGAAGTTTCTGGGAAGGGCTCGATCTCCTGCGCTGTGAGACCCCAGGTCTTACACCTGCACTTGCTCCCGAGCAGTGAAGGGCAGCATTCATGGCTCTTTCCTGACAGTTTTCACACATGCTTGAGTCTGTGCTTCCTTTTCCCTGTTTCTCTCAAGGTGGTGGTTGAGGTTAGCAGTTTCAAGTGGGAAGTCATGTTCTCCAACTGATTTACCATGAGGTCGAGTCACAAGTCACAAAGAGTCTTCACTTCATACAGCATTTCCTGTTTGGAGACTAGAAGCAGGGCTTTTCCTACACACTAAGCCCCTGGCTTTCAGGACTTCACATCTATTTTTACTTTCTGCTTGCAAACTGATTTTAGAATTCAATTTCTCCTTTAAAAATACTTCTTTTGCTGGCGCACGTCTGTAATCCCAGCACTCTGTCTGTGCAAACATGTGAGGGTGCCCTTGGAAGCCAGAAGGTGGCTTAGGAGTCTCTGGAGCTGGAGTTACAGGCAGCTGTGGGCTGCCCACCAAGGTGCTGGGAGCCAGGCTTGGATTGTGTGGAAGAACAGTGTGTGCTCTTCATTGCTGAGCCATCTCTCCACCCCTTCCTTTTGAGACAGGGTCCTACTCTGTAGCTGAGATTGGTCTTGAACTTATCATATAAACCAAGATGACCTCATACTTGGGATAATCTTCATACCTCCTCATCCAAAGTGCTGGGATCGGGGCTGGAGGGAAGGCTCAGCAGTGAAGAGCACCTCCTGCTCTTACAGAACCGACATGGTGCCTCACAACTGTAACTCTCATTCCAGGCTATCATGTGATTTCTTCTGGATTCTGTAGGCGCTGCACACATATAGCACACATATGGACATACACACGACAACACTTATGTACATACACAAACACAAAACACCTTTAAACAACAAAGTCGTAGGATTCTACACACGAACCTCTACACCTGGCCTAGCACTCAACCTGTGATAACTTGCCCAAGGCAACACAGTGCTGTAGACCTGTAATCCCAATACCTGAGAGGTGGGAACAGGAAGATCAGAGTTCAAGGCTATTCTTTGTGGGCAGCCTGGGTTACTAAGGTTCTAACAGGGCTGGAGAGATAGCTCATGGGGAAGTCAAGGTCTTAACTATGTAGTCCTAGCTATCCTGGAACTTGCTAGGTAGACCAGGCTGGCCTTGAACTCACAGAAATGATTGCTTCTGCCTCACGCCACCACACCCAAGCACCCCTGTGCTTAATTAAGCCTGTTATTAAAATATCCTTATTTTGGCAATGAGATGGCTCAGTGGATGTTCATGGCTTAGTCTGACCTGAGTTTGATTTCCAGGTTTTACAGCCTAGGAGAGGGCTACCAAGAGTTGCCCTCTGACCTCCACTGTGTGCTGTGATACAGCTATTCATCGCCCATCCTATATATAAATAAGACATATTTTAAAATATCCTGGACTGATGAGATGGCTCATCAGGTAAGGGTGCGTGCCACCAAGGCTAAAGTCCTGAGGTTTAATTCAGGCCACCTTCCATAAGTTGCCTTTTGCCTTCCACATTCATGCTGTGGCGTATATGTGCTCACTCACACAGACATAAATGTTAAAACAAGGCCTTAAATTCCTCACTAAACTTACTGCTTCATGAACTGGCTGGTCCCAAAATTCTCCTCACTGCGGAAGCCAAGAATCCCGAATAGCAGTCCCTAATCCAGGGGAAGTCCTCAGGCTATGAGGTCTCTGTGCCCTCATGACCAAGATGGAAATATAAAACAGAATCAGCATTAAGCATTCAGAACAAGACCCACGTTTTTACCAGATCTACTTTTATTTCAGAAGGAATTTTGTATTACTGTATTTACTTTTATTTATATACAAGTGCTTCACATTTGCATTTAAAATGCAGACCCCTTAATTCTCTTGTTCCTGATTAAATTAGCTGTTATTTTACAATACAAAAAATACCAAAAATTGCAGTCCTAAATGTATGTATAACACCAACAACCCCAGCAATTAAATAGTTTACAATACTTACTCCATATTTACACGAGTGCAACAGATGCTAAATTACACAGATTAACAAACTAAGCTTGGATCAAAACAAACAAAACAATGAACTGTAAATAACCAGAAAACATTTCCAGAGGCAGAATTAGTTCAGCAGGCTTCCCTAGTGTTTTGTGCAGAGTCAAGTTCTGAGCGTAGCTTCCGTTATTGCCTTCAGAAGATAAGGTGCCAGTTTTTCTCTGCACCCAGGGCTCCCTGTGGGCAGGGTGTGGAGCTCCAGAGGCTCTGCTCAGCCAGAGGCCATGCTGACCATTCCAAAGCTGTGCTGGGGGGAGGCAGTGACCAGGATCAACATTTCAGATTTCCTCAGGGAGCCAGAAAGAACCTTTTGGCTTCTTGGTTCTGCTCCCAGGAAGCTCTCCTGCGATGACAGCTGTGTCTGAAGAGCTGTGTTTTCATTGAAGTCACTGCCCTAATGTTAGCTTAGCTTAGAAGTGTTTAGTAAATATTTGTTGAACTGATCAATTAAAGGACACCAGGGATCAAAGTTGTTCATAAAAACAGCACCATCCCCCAAGGAGACGAGTCACTCCCTCACCCTGCACACTCCACTGTGTCGAAGGAGAACGGGCACTGGCAGGCCGCAGCATTTCCTACCCACAGTGCTCTGCTCTTGTCATCCAATTCCCTAATGAGGTCCCATCTTACACTTCAAGCCTTCCAGATATTCTGGTATTTTCTCTTTGCTGACAGTTTTCTTCCAGGTTTGCTCAGGGGGCAATGGTTTGTTTTTTTTTTTTCCTTGCCACACCTCCTTGGACCTTTCAGATCCCTCTCCAGACTGTGTACAGAAGACCAGGACTGGGACAGGAGGCTGAGGTGTGGGAAAATGGTGCTATTTATCAACAAATGAACCCTCCCATCCCCAGTTTTTAGTATAAAAAGAACATGGTTCTCAGAAATTTCATTAAAATTTTAGACGAAGCCACGACAATGCAGCCTAGAGAGCCCCTTTGCATAATCTGACGTTCACAGGTGACAGTCTTTGAATTTGAAGAGTAACAGAACACCTTAGGACCAGACTGGTCACCCCACAGAGATGCCAGAAGTCACAAGGAGCATTTGAATTTAACAAGTGATGAACACGCTTGCTTCCTGAGTTCTTTTATGTACTACCATGTAAACACTCACTGCCTGGCTCTTCATGGGTTGGTTTGAGACAGACTCTTGCTATGTAGCCCAGGCTATTCTTGAATTCTTTGTTTTTGTTTTATGTGTATTGGGTGTTTTGCCTGCATGTTTGCTGTGCACCACAGGTGGACTACCACAAGCACCCAAGGAGGCCAGAAGAGGGTCATCTGGAATTGGAGTCACAGATGGTTGTGAGCCACCATGTAGGTGTTAGGAACTGAACCAGTGTCCTCTGCCAGAGCAGCCAGTGCTCTTTGTAGTCCCCATTTTTAATCTTCCTGACTCTATCTTCTGAATGCTAGGATCACAGCTGTGAGTCACCATGCTTGCTCTCTTCCTAGGTATTCTGAGAGCTGAATCATTGTTTAGAGTTACCTAATGGGCACAAGGCTACTGAACACAAGCATACTGGTACAGTGTGTGGCCTTATCAATGGATCAGGGCCTGGTAAGATGGTTTCCCAGAGCTTGGATACCCAGTATATGGCACAGAAACAGATAAGGTGAAACTCAGATGTTAATGTTTAATAAAAATACATTATGATACTTTTCTGTTTATGTACACCCTGAATGTCTGAACATTCTGGACACTACTGTATAGCTATGTACAAGTGCAAGGTGAGCATCTTTATGACCAGTTTATATACATGCTCTCTCGGGACAGTTACAGGGTCACAACCCTACTCCCTCTTGGTACCTGGCTCTGAGCTGAGCTCTTCTTCCCTGCCATTCCCCTCTGCTTTAAGCCTGAAGGCAGCTTAAAGGGCTGTAAAGGGTATGCAGGTTAAGTTGGCTGCTTCTCCATTTCTGGAGCAGAATTAAACGCCATTTGCTTCTTCCTTTCCAAAGAATAAACAGTATGTCTAAGGGAAAAACCATACGCAGGTAGGTGGGAGCCACAGTACGCATTATGTTAAGGTATGGGACTAACATAGAAGCAACTTCTTTGGCCAAAAAAGTTTGGTCCTTGAGCAAAGCAGGGGGAGTTTCCTTGTAGAAGGACCAACCCTAGTAGGACTTCCCTCTTTCTTTCTTTTGGCCAAGATTCCCTGGGCAGTTATGGAGATGAAGGCTAGACCACTGCAGATACTTACAGGTGCTGGGTTTTGGTAGGGGAGCCCCTAAATGCACAGGGGACAAGGTTGGGATCTTTTCCAGACCTTTCTGCCCTTAAATAATGGTGTGGAAAAGCAGTGTTTTGACAAGTGAGTCCCACAGCAGTGTTTAAGGTTCAGTGTGGAAACATCACTCCAGGAGTGTCTTGGTGGGGACGGTGTTAGGGTGGGGCTTAGAGAAAGGTTTCCTCTCTCGGCACTGCATTTAAGGGTGAAACGCTGCAGGTTTTGTTCTTCTGAGTGTTAGCTTCTCCAAACTCATAATCTGAGCATTGTGGCTTAGAGGGCTATTCTAGTCAGGTGACAGCAGAAGGACATGAAGCAGGAGAGGAAAGGTGTGAGGCTGCTGCATAATGCCAGAATACTGAGCACCATAAGTGGGGAAATACAATGTCCAGACACAGTCCTGTGGTGCAGAGAGGAGGACCATTCGCCTCTATTAATGTGTTTACGTTTTTGTTTGGAATAGGGTCTTCTCACTTCCATTTTCCCCATGTGCTTTTCATCCTCCTTAGCATTTACCTCCTCACAACTGCCAGCTGGGTCTGGGAGGAGGCTCAACCAAACCCTACCCGGGGAGATGGACCCAGGCCCCTTTCCAGGTTCTGAGCAGAGGCCGCCCCAATGCACAGCATCATCCCTCTTCTAGTGTTTACCCCGTGCAGCCTGGGGATGACCCGCAGGCTCAGTGGGAGCTGTAGACAGCCAGGTTTCCACACTCAGTGCTCTTTTCTGCTCGGAGAGGCGCATGACTGGAGCGAATGCGTTTCTGTGGTGCCTTGGCAGAAGGAACCCACAGGGTTGAGCAAGAATCAGGCTGGGTGGGTGGGTCCCTCAGTCCCTATTGCCAGCAGTCCCTAGTAAACGTTTCTTGGGATGAGAATTATTCTTTCTTGGCTGCAAATTAGACTTCAGAAAAAGAATGAAACGCAATGATAGCTACTTAAATTTCACGAGGATGTAGGAATGCAATCATGTAAAAAGTTACTAACTTCCCAATTGCTAGATCTATTTAAAGTCTAGGCACTTAGTGTGTGTGTGTATGTGCACGTGTGCATGTGTGTAAGACAGAGCAAGAGAAAGAGTGGATTAAAATGAATCAAGTTGCTACAGAGAATTATCTATTACATTTGTTAATACTCTAAACACCATTGACCTTGACGTTTAAAATAGCCCCCTTTGCTGGGCCTCATGGTGCACGATTTTTATCCCAGCACTCGTGAGGCAGAGGCAGGTGGATCTTTGTGAGTTCAGTCCAGCCTGTTTTACGTAGTGAGTTCGGGCCAGCTGGGGCTACACAGTGAGACCCTGTCTTCACAAAACAAAACAACACAAGGCCCCGTCAGTTATAATTGATATGACTTCCAAAGAGACAGACCGTTATTGGTTCTCAGCTCAAAGAAAGCTACTTCCTGGAAGAGAGTAAAAGTACATCTTGTGAAAAGACAGCAGCTTCAGATGTGAACAGCTCATCTGAGGAGTGTCGAAAAGACCACGCTGGAGAGCTGCTGACACAGGCCATTACTCTCGCAGTTGAGACTCCCAAGAGGAGTTTGCACAAGGGACCTCAGCATCACTTTTAGCTCTCACTGGTTCTACACCAGTCTCCTCCACCCATGAGTAGAGCAGATCATTCCTGGACTTGTAATTAAATTATCTCCTACACAAAAGTAAAAGGTTAGATGCTGGACACAGAAGGGATGAACTGTCAAAACAGCTTGTATGAACATGCACGTGAGTTGGCTGCTTCAAGGGTTTCCAGTCTTCTGCCCACACCTGCTTCCTGTCTGCACCCTCCCCTGTAGACGGCTTGGTGGGCCGCATGCCTCTCTGTGAGGGAGAGTCCCTGGCCCAGTATCAAATGCAGGTTCCAGGCTGTGCAGGGGGCTGCTGCTTCCGGTTTCTTACTGCTCCTGACTTCTCCTTGTATACTATCGGCATCTGCTGAGAAATGTCCACCAGGGCACTGGCCACAGCAAGACCTTGGAAGAACCCACAAGACAAGACACATGTCAAAGAGCAGCTAACTTTATATAAAATAATTTCAAATTTCCTTTTACATTTCCATAGTGAAAGATAAAGAAAGATACGCATGGGAGTCCTTCCATTTCACCCCCCCACCCTTTTCCACCTGGTTGCAGCTTCGTGTTCTTGCAGAGTTTATTTATGCACACCCAACTACTCATTTTTCTGTCTTCCACAGCAGATTGCCAGAGCAGAGTGCTCTAGCTCAGGATGGAAGCAAGTGAAAGGGAATGCAACCATGCTCTGAGTGTACAGCTTCTCCTGCCTGAATCCAGAGGGCAGCAGTAAAAACAGCACTGCTTCACAGTGAGATGTGATCCATCCTGTATCACTGGCTTAGTACTGGCTACTAAACTTGTGTGTTTGTGTATGTAAACCTTGCTGCACGTGTGAGGCAGAGGTCCACCTCCAGGAGTTGGCTATCTCCTTCTACCTACTGAACTCTGGGGATCTAGCCCAGGATCTAACCCAGGCCTGGAGGTGAGTACCTTTCCCAGCTGAGTGAACTCAGCATGACTTATTTTATATCTACACCATAGGCAGTGCTCAATACAGTATCTTTGGCTTGGTTTTGGAATAAGAAAGGTTCTTTAATCTCCCATGTGGCAAGTTTTCTTATATATGAAATAGGGCTGGGATAAGAACAGCACAAAGCTTGTGCGTGGAATCACACAGTGAACTGATGTAATCCTTTAGTTCACAGAGCAATCATCAGGAACCTTTACCACTTACTCTCAGGAACAACCCCAATGACCCTGCTCCTGCTTGTTTGCACTGGTAACCAACAAGCCAGGGAAGTCAGCCTTGCAGGGAGTTTCCTCTAGGAATTCTCACACTGGAGGAAATGGCCAGCTATACGCAACTCTACCGAGACTGCTTTAATGGCCAGAAGGGTCAGTCTGTTAGTCCACTCTACTGGGCCTGTAAAGTGAGAGGGCAGGAGGCAGGGACCAGTCTTTGGTGTACAGTGAGGAACAGTAGTGATAACGGTTATGGCAGAGGCATCTCCAGATGTTCTGGGAGTACAGAGAAAGGCACCACTAAAAAGAAGGGGTGGGCTTAGTGGCAGAACATTTGCTCAGCATGTGCCAGCCCCTGGGTTTGATGCCTAGAAAAGATTTAAAACAGTATTGGGAGTTGGGTGGTGTTGGTGCATGCCTTTAATCTTGGCACTTGGGAGGTAGAGGTAGAAAGATCTGAGTTCAAGGCCAACCTGGTCTACAGAGTGAGTTCCAGGATAGCCACGACTATACAGAGAAACCCTGTCTTCAAACTCATCTCCTCCAAAAAAGGAATGGGATAGGAGTTGGGTACGGTAATACATGTGTCATCCCCCAGCACTGGAGAGGCTGAGGCAGGAGGATTATGGGGCTAACGTGTGCTTCCTCACAAAGAAAAAGCACAGGGGGTTGGCATAGAAACCCTGCTGATGGGACGGGTCTCGAGTGTAGGGCTTCCGGAGGGTGGAGGCACTAGGTGAAGGAGGCAGGAAGGCTACAGACCTGCTACCTCTCTGTCCACCAGAGACCTTGCCTTTACGAAGCAGGAGATGGTGTCCAGAGTGCCAGATCGCAGAGTCACTCTGTTCTCAGTAAGGGCCTGGGGATGCCGTGGTGAGAGGAAGACAATAAACCCTGACCTCACCACTCACAAGGCTTCCCTTTTGAGGGACAGGTAACTGGAGGCCCTTCTGGAAGGTTCATGAAGGGGTCTTAGAGTTAAGGGTTAGACAAAGATAAAGGATATACCTTCCTTGCTAAACTCAAGGTTGTTTTGGCTGAGTCAATCCTGAATCCCTAGGACCACCGCAACTGAATATGGTCCTAAATGTTCACATTGCTTGAGGCATTCCTATTCAAAGCTTCTTAATCAAGATACTTCCCAAACTTCATTCCGTATTGCCCTTGTGTTATAAGTAAGAACTTTTCTTTCAACACAGGGTTACTATGTAGCCCTGCCTGATCTGGGCCTCACTATGTAGCAGTCTTCCTATCTCTGCCTCCAGCTTTAAGACAATATATAAATTATAATTTACATGTTTGATAGAAAAGTATAAAAGACACTGGTATTTTTATGTAGTAAGTTGTAAAAATGTTAATGATTGTTATGAAAAAAAAATAAAGAGTATATTTGTGTTTGATCCCCAGAAATATCCTCCCCTCCCCACCAAATTCAAAAGTATAGAAAGCATACAGTAGGAGACGGAGAGATGGCTCAGCAGTTACAAGCAGTGACCGCTTTTCCAAAGAACCTGGGTTCAATTCCCAGCACCCACATGGCAGCTCACAACTGCCTATAGCTCCAGTTCCAGGGGATCTGACCCCATCACACAGACACACATGCAGGCTGAATAGCAATGCACATAAAAAATAACAAACAAACAAGCCATTTAAAAAAAGTATAATAGTAAAAATAATTTCTTCCTATTCCTGCCCCAAATCACCACTGGTACCAGTTTTCTGAAGAAATGCTATTTTAGAAAAAAATATGAAGAATCAATGTTTGTAGTAAACGTACACCCAGAAGCTGCGGGGGTAGCTTGGTTGGTAGAACGTTGCCTGGTGTGCAGGAGCCCTGGCATTGTTCCTCCACGCCACATAAACCAGGAGTGCTGGTGCAGCACTGGGGAGGAGGAGGCAGGATGCTCACACGTTCGAAGACAGCCCTGGCTAGAAACTGAGTCTAAAAACAGTCCAGGCTCTTGCAGCCCCCAAAGCCTACATAATTATTTCAATAAAATTGCTAGAGAGGGCTGGGAAAAGAATGAACATTCGTCTGCATTAGCCTAGTAGAACTATACTTTTCAAAATCTCCTTTGTTTTCATAATACTTCTTTATGCCTCATATTTAAAATAAGAGTACAAAGCTGCACAATGAAGCGTCACACCTGTAATCCCAGTGCTCTGGAAGTTGAGACAGAAGAATGACTATGAGTTTGAGGCCAGCCTGGGCTATGTCATGAGTTCTTGTTTTGTTGTTGTTATTTGTTTTTTTGAGACAGGATTTCTCTGTATAACCCTGGCTATTCTGGAATTTACTCTATAGACTAGGCTGGCCTCAAACTTGGATCCACTTGCCTCTGCCTCTCCAGTGCTGGGACTAACAGTGTGTGCCACCACTGCCCAGCCTGCAATGAGCTCTTGCCCAGATTGGGCTGCATAGCAAGACCTTAAACAAGATGTAGAGCATGGCTAGAAATATCTACTTGGGCAGCACAAGATTTGAGGACATTGCTGAAAGCCAGGGGCATTGGCAATGATTATGAGCATATGAAGGAAGAGAAAGATAAATTTAAGGTAAGAACAAGGGGTTAAAAAAGGGCAGCGATCAACAGAGCCAAGGGGACCAGAAGGAGGTGTGATCTGAAGCATGAATGGCTGAGGAAGCTGTGCAGTGAGGAGGGTCTTGGACTTCTACCCCAGGATAGGAATGTCAGTGCTCAGAACACAGTTTGGGAACTATGGAATTGTCTCACCAAAGCTCTGTGCCACAGCTAGCACCATTGTGCAGTACCCCCATAACCAGGTTCTTTACAAAGAAGAAACATTGAGGCTTAGCGCTTCGTGGACCAATATTTGTCACTGCCTCCTGTGTACTCACCTGACTGACCAGGAGGAGGGATTCCTCCCAGTCCCCGAGGGAGCCTCACGAAGACAGAGAGGACTGCAGCTTTGTTGCCAAAGCAGGGCTCCAGGGCAATGGGCTTGGGAACAGTCTGGGGGAAGAAAACAAACACCACCATAACTTACTCTGCACTTCAGAGTCAGGTGCTTACATGCTCAATCAACACTCTTTGGCTATAGGAGGCTTCCACAGCCACTGTTCCAAAGAGCCACACGAGTGCCTGGGCAGGGCCTACACTGGGGGCTCTCTCTCAGTCTCAGGGCTGGCATGTCTGGTGCCCCACAGGAAAGCCTGCACACTTGGCGCAAACAGACTCTGATGTTATGGAGATGGCTGCCTGTTTTTCATCCATGCCTATTCTAACCACTAAGTCATAAATCTGTGGGTTTAAGAGCTTGTGAAGGGTAGACAGCTCACCAAACGGATGAGGAATGCTTCGGCTCTGGAAAATATATTCAGTGATTCAATGGTTAAGTGTACTTACTCATGTACAGGACATGAGTTTGATTCCCAGAACTCAAATGGCAGCTCACAACCATCTGTAACTCCAGTTCCAGGGGACCCAGTGCCTTCTTCCAGGCTCCGTGGGTGCCAGGCATGCATGTATCTGATACACAGCCATACAAGCAGGCAATATATATTAAAAAAAAACAAAACAAAAACAAAAACAAAAACAAAAAAAGGAAGCTAAGGAGGAACATGGGAGGGAGCCAGCTATCAGCACTCCTCCATTGTTTCTGCATCAGTTCCTGCCTGACATCCCTCAAAGAGATACTATGACCTAGAAGGGTAACTCAAATTAATCCACTCCTCACTGTGTAGCCCAGCAGAGCCTTGAATTTGTAACCCTCCTGCCTCAGCCTCCTGCTACTGTGAGCCACCAAGTCTGGCTCCCCCTGTTCTTAAAAGACATTTAGGACACTCACTAGCACTATGAAGGAATTCCTTTTTTGTACTCCTGGCCTTGTTATTACTTAGATTCATATTCTCTCTCCCTCCTCCCTTTCTTCTTCCCTCCTTCCCCCCTGTGTGTGTGTTGAACCTACCTAGCTTAATAATGAAAAAAAAAAAAAAAAAAGGAAAAGAGAAGGGTGTTTCCCCTTTTTTATGGTGTGAAACTGAAACACTGGAACTGCACTACTTATGCAGCAACAACTTCTTGGTTTCTCTTTCAAGCCTCTGGCAGTTACTATTTTATTTTGTCACAATGCAATTACTTATTCTAGATACTTTGCATATAGAATGATATAGAATCTTTCACTTAACACAATTTCATAAGGTTTACCCATGCTGTGGCATATATTAGGCTTTTCTTTCTTTTAAAGGATAAGCAATATCTAGTAGCAATAAACTACACCACTTTTCTCATTTGCTCACCCACTGACAGTACTTGATTGCTTTTACTCTCTGGCAATTATGAACGTGCTGTGACAAACACTAGCAGATAAGACCCCCTGCATTACATTTTTGTAGTTTTTGTTTTCTTGGACAAAATCTTGTCAGGTAGCTCAGGCTGGTCTTGAATTTACAGTGACTGTCCTGCACCTGTACTCCAAGTCCTGGCATTACAGGCATGTGCTGCCATGCCTGTTCCACCATTTCTAATGGCTACATCATTTTATAGTCTAACAAGGTGCACAACGGCTCCGACTTGTAAACGTTGTAATGTATGATGTGTGTGAATGTGCATGCGTTTACAAGTACATGTGCAGCTATGCATGTACATGTATGTGCACATGGAAGTCGCCCTCAGTTGCTTTCTTACTAAGGCAGGGACTCTTGCTGAACCTGAAGCTCAGCAATTCCAGGGAGCCTAGCCGGACAGCTTGCTTTGGGAGTCCTTTCTCTGCCTCCCAAGCACTGTCACTATACCTGCCTGGCTTGTAACTCAATACTGGGGCTCTGAACTCCAGCCTCATATTGGTGTGGCAACCACCTTATCCACTGAGCCATTTCCTCAGCCCTGTAAGTGGTTAAAAAAAAAAAAGTCAGGGTTTTGCTGGGGGCAGTGGTGCAAGCTTTTAATCCCAGCACTTGGGAGGCAGAACCATGTGGATCAAGGCCAGACTGGTTTACACAGTAGGTTTTAGGACAGCGAGAGCTATACAGTGAGGCCTTGTCTCAAAAAACAAAAACCCAAACCCAAAATATGTGTGTATGATGGGGAAATTGATGGTTAAATTTAGCTGCTTGCTTTTTTTTTTTTTTTTTTTTTTTTTTAAAGACAGGGTCTTACTATGTAGTGTGACTGGCCTGGAACTCAGAGATCTGCCTGCCTCTGCCTCTAAAGTGCTGGGATTAAAGATGTGTGCTACCATACCTAGCCCAGTTTAAGTATTTCCAAATAAAAACTTTAAAGTATTATGCCACAACACACTTAAGAGTAACAAGCTTAATTTACATGTTAAAAGTCTCCTGAACATGACTGGGTGATGATATGAACAACAACTGGAAAAGGAAAGCAACAGAGTACCTTACAGTCTTGGTGTTTCAGCTGACACAGAAGGAAACAAGAGGTAAACACATCGGAGCAGCTCCTGTCTCCAGTGTGCCAGACTCAGAGGCCTGAGCTCTGAAGAGCTGTACAGACTGCTTCTCACCTTTATACTTCCCCCAATAAGATCAGGGGGCTCTTCATCTGTTTCCAAGGCAACATTTACGGAAGCAAAGGGGCGGCTGGCCATCTGCTGCATCTCCCGAAGAAGTTGCTAATGAATGATATGGTATGTATTAATATGCTGAGTTTGAGATTTTATTTGTGAACACTAAATATTAAAAATACTGCACTCTCCCTGATTCAAACTGGTCAAATGCAAAGTGTTGCTTCTGTAACGGTTGAGAAAAACTGGGCGGCACAGGTATTAAATTCTGCTAGATGAGCTAACAGTACTGTATTTCCTAAGCTGGCATGTCAGAGTATCATTAAGTAGTGACTGGGCTGGCTTTCTTCCATGGGGTGGTTTTTGGGGTCGGGCCTGGCACTGGGTGGACATTCCTTCAGTCTCTGCTCTCTCTATTCTGTCTTTGTCCCTGCAGGTCTTGTAGGCAGGGTAAGTTTTGGATTGATGTTTTTGTGGTGGGTTGGTGTTCTCCATCTTCTAGGATTCTTGTTTAGATAGAGGGTGTCCTCTTCAGTCTCCATGGCTCCTGTTACTAGGACTCTTAGCTAGAGTCCCCCTCATATCCTCCCAGGGGCAGATTCTGACTTAGGTCTGCAGCTTGTTGCAAAAATGGCCCCACTGACCGTTTCTCTCTTCTCTGCAGGTCTTCTACCCTCCTGCCCCGGCTTTGCCCAGGTCTGATCTCTACTCTTATTTATCTTTGTGATCCCTCTTCTACCTTGTTTCCACTCTTCAAGCACTACCTTTGTTTATTCTACTTCCCCTTCTGAGGGAGATTTATACACCCTCCCTTGCGCACCTAGCAATGGCTTGAAACAGATACTGAGAATCACAGCCAAACATTGGGCAAAGCATAGGAAGTCTACTGAAAAAGTGTGTGTGTGTGTGGAGGGGGAGGAGAAATGGACCCAGAGGTGATAAAAGCTCCACAAGAAGACCATCCGAGCCAATCAACCAGGGCCCAGAGGGGCCTATGGAGTCTGAAGCAGCAACCAAGGACCATGCATGGGCTAGACCTACGTCCTCTACTTATAAGTAGTCAATGGCAGCTTAGGCTTCATGTGGGGGCGCTAGTTAGGGGAGTGGGTGACATTCCTGACACTGACTACGTTGCCTGATTTTTGATTACTTTCCCCTGGCGGGACTTCCCTACCAGGCCACAGGGGAGGAAGATGAATTCAGTCCTCATGTGAATAGATGAGCTGGGGTATGGGTAGGGGGACTCCCCTATTCTGAGGAACTGGGAGGGAGGGGATATAAGAGGCAGGGTGGAGTAGGAGGAGAGAAGGGAAGGGCCTATGACCGAGATGTAAATTGAATTAATAAAAAGATATAAGTTGAGTAGTGATGGATATAATGCTGTGGTGTCTGCTGGTTGAATATATACAAGGTCAGAAACTTACCTCTTCATATTTCTGTTACTAGATTAAAGCCAGTCTAACTTGCTTTGTGTTAAAACCTGAACCAGCCATTCCCAGAGCAACAGTAACAGCAACAGAAAAAGATATGGGTGATGGGCTGTGAGACTATAAGCCCCTGAGAGAGATCTAAACACCAAGAAATGTGGAATCACAGAGGAGAACGAGTGGGGCTCTAGATTTAAGGAAGGATGGATATGTTAGGGTAGGTGTTCAAAGCATCAAGGTTTCAGTGTCTTCTTTAAATGTGCTGTGTGTGTGTTTGTTTATCAACAGTGTCTCATGTAGCCCAGGTTGGCCTTAAACTCACTGGATAACCTTGAATTTCTTTATACCCCTACCTCAAGCACACATGGCTTGAAATGTGTTTTTATGCTGGTCAGATGAGATACTATAGCATACACCTGGAATATGGAATGTGGGCATTCCTATATCATTAACAATATGAGATGTCTTCTGAGTTTATGCCATGGAACATAAGTTGGTCTTGCTTCAGTCCATCTTCTAGGAAACTTGATCTTGAGGCTACATAAATCACTGCTTTATTCCAGAAGGGATTTTTTTATGGTAAATTTTTTCTTAAAACCCAGTAATAGATTCTTACTGTTAGATCACAGGGGCTGCTCCTGTGGAAGAGATCAGCCATACCTTACATCCTAAATATCTTCGCTAAACTGCTGAACTCGGGAACTCCTCCGTTACAATGTCCACAAATTAAGACTTTTCCTTTGTTCTCTGAGTTGCTGGTAAATACCCCATCACAGCTACTTAGTGTTAGGAGGGACTTGGTGACGTAATGTGTCTCCGCACAGCTCTCCACTGAACCTGGAAGGGATCTCCAGTTCCTCAGCAGACCTAGTCTGGGTTCTCAATACCCGGAGTGCAGGGTCACCGGAAGAGTCACTCCACTACTGTAACTCCAAGAGGACAGGAAGCGAGGTGGGTAAAGAACTTCCACCAGGGCCCGGGATACAGCCAGAACAGATAACAGCACCCTGACTGGAACAAGTCATAGCTGACCTTAATATTTAGAATGGTCAGCTTTAGAGTTACCAATGGTAAATGATTACTTTATTAGCTGAATGAAACAATCTAAGCAAAATTTTAAAAAACCTTTTAAAATGTTTATTTATTTCTATTTCATGTGCATTGGTGTTTTGCTTGGACATATGCCTGTGTGAGGATATCAGATCCCCTGGAACTGGAGTGACAGACAGTTGTGAGCTGCCATGTGGAGGCTGGGAATTGAACCCTGTCCTCTGGAACAGCAGCCAATGCTCTTAACCACTGAGCCATCTCTCCAGCCCTTAAAAAAAAACCTTTCTTAAGGGGGGTGGGATCATCTTCTAGTTTTCTCTCATGATGTTACAAATGTTTTCCAGTTGACTGTTACTTTCTGTATTATCTATTTATTTAGATAAATAGATATATAATATATCTATTTTATATTATATATTAATTTTATATAATATATATTAATATAATATATTATTTTATATAATTGTTATTTTGTATGCAGACAAATCTCTACTATTTTGTCTCAATAAGTCATATGAAAATAATTTTTTCTCTCCAACAATAACAAAACTGCTTTCTTGACCTTCTTTGTAGTATATAGCCTGGCTCATTCAGTCATGAGAACATGAGATTCTAAAGGACACAATCTAGAACCTTTGGAACAAAGCTTAATATCTTACAGGAACTATGTGCTTAGGAACATGGCTGTGAAGGCACAGGCCCCAGTTAAAGCCCAGCTCTGCTTCTCAGTGTCTATGTGACAATGGGTAAGTTGCTTAGCCTCCCTGAGCCTAGTGGCAATAGTTATATTCACAGGGTTGAAATGAAGATCCACGTTGCTAGTTTAAGAAAAGCCACTTAACACACTGCCTGGACTTTAGAGGTGCTGAGATGTCTACAGAGTGTGTCCACTGGCACCGACTCTAGTATTTAGTCATGATGAATGATGCTGGCTAGCACTGTAGCTTGGTGTTGGATCCTCCGCACCTGCCCAAGACCCATGAGTTAAAAGCTTTGTTACTGTTGTGTAATTACAGCGTGCTGAGAACAGAACTGAGGGACCCAGGTTTATGCTCAGCAGCTGCTCCATCACTGAGCTGAACCATCCCTCCACTCATTCTTATGGAAGCTTAGGAAACGTGCTCAATCAAGCAGTGCTATGGCTGTGGCAAAATCAGTGACACCTCATAAAAACAGTAATTGAAATCTACTGATGGCATACAGCAGAACAGACACATACAAAACCGAATACTTCTCCCATGAATATTAGTCATCACTAAACAGGCACAGTGATCTGCCTAAAAGAAGGAAAGAAAATGAGTTATGGGGGTTCATTACTTTTGATCTGCTCACCTCTCTCCGCCTGGATGCCCAACAGCTCTGCTTGATCTTCCAAACCACTGCAGCCACCAGAAGCAGGGAGAGGAAACAGCTGCGGGGAGAGATCACACTGTTAATCAACCCCACCCTGCCACACCTGACTCCAGGGAATGAGCTCGTCATCCCAACGCCAGCTCCTGATGCTGCACGAGATAGACAGGCTCACAGGAAGTGCAGTGTGAGAAAACACTGGCCAGCTGAGCCAAGTTTCCAGTTCTGACTTCCGAGAAGCGTTTCCACCACTGACTTCTCACCAAGCCCCCCAGAATGGCCAATCACGGCTTAGCTTAAATAAGAAAAACAATTCTAACATAAATGATAAATAAGCAAGTAATTTAATCAACATGGTAAACTTTATTGATAAACTCAAACAGAATGAGAGGAGGTAAGCAGAAGAAATTTATGTATAATGATTAATCTATTTTCTGTATACACACACACACACACACACACACACACACACACACGGTGGTAAATATTGATTGTCAACTTGGCAAGCTCTAGAATCACCTATGAGACAAACCTCTGGCATGTTTATGAGAGTTTCTACATTGGGTTAATTGAATACCAATAATCTACCCTAAATGTGGGCAGCACCATGCTATGGGTCTCAGTCTGAATAAAAGGAAACTGAGCTGAACAGCAACATTCCTATCTCTCTCCCCCTTGCCCCCCACCCCCCGCTTCCTGAGAATGCAAAATGACAGCCACCTCATGAGCCCATGACATGCCTCCCTGGCCATGGGGGACTGGATACTCTAGAACTGTAAGCCAACATAAACCCTACCTCTCTTAAGCCAAGTCAAGTATTTTGTTGCCCTACTGAAGAAAGTAATTAATAGTAAGTGTGTGTGTGTTCTTCTTTTTAAAGATTGTATCTTGCTTTGTAGTCCAGGTAGCTTGGAATTTATGTTCTTATCTCAGATTCCTGGGTGCTGGGTTGTGGCACCAAGGCCAGCAATATATGTGCTTGTTAATAAAATAAATCTCAAATGATCAACTACAGTTTTCTTAATTCTAGGAGGAAAAACTTGTAGTTGTCTAATGATTGTAAAAAAATTTCAGTTTTCTTTCTTCTGTAAACCAGATGTGGAATGCGAAAAGCTACTATGATTCCAGAGGCAGTGACTTACTTCTGCTTAAAAGATTAAGTCCACCAAACAAAATGCTGAGACAGGTAGCTCTGTTAGGAAGTGTATTCCAGGGATTCATGTATTGGAGGCTTGGTCCCCAGTGCAGCAGAGCTTGGAGATGGGGTTCAGGGATATGACTGGGATCATGGGCATTCTTATTTTAACAGTGGATTTCAGTCAGCTGACTGATTTCTATTTTAATGTCCATTTGAAGGTGGGGTCTGTTTGGATGATGCAAACACTCCCTGGGGGTGAGGGACTGGAATGTAAATTTTGCCTTGTGTTCTTCATGGCTGCTGTGAGGTGAGCTGCTTTTCTTTACCACATGCTCCCCACCATGAAGTCTGGTCTAGCCGTGCCCGATAGGACAGATAAATGACTCTAGATTGAAATGTCTGAAACCATGGGCTGTTGTCATAGCAAAGGAAAGCTGACACACAACTATAATAAATAATTTTAAAATAGGCATTTTTTTAACTCACTGCATTTTTATTTACTTTTAATACATATTTAACATTAAGACAATCACTGTACTTATTTATGTGGTTGGCACAAGTGTACAAGTTGTGATAACTGGACCAGGGTAACTAAACAGACACCATCGCAGGCCTGTAGCATCTCTCTGTATTGGACATATTAAAAATCCTCTCTACTAATTACTCAGCTAATGTCCTCAAGCACAACTATCCTACTGTGCTAGGTAGTACATTAAAGAATTCTCCTTGTATCAAACTTCACCCCAGTTCCCATTAATCATTCACGTTCTATCCCTTCTTCCTTTCTTGGGCTCCAACAATTACTACTGTGGTTTGAATGAAAACGGCCCTCAGTTGGTGGGACTGTTTGGGAAGGATCAGGAGGTGTGGCCTTCTCGGAAGAGGAGTGTCACTAGGTGGGCTTTGAGGCTTCAAAAGCTCACTTAGTTCTCTTTGTGCCTCATGCTTGTGGAGTAGATGTGAGCTCGAGCTCCTGCTGAGCGTCATGCCTTCCCCTGCCAGGCTCCCCACCATGACCGTCATGGACTCACCCTCTGAAATTGTGAGCTCCAAAACCTCTTCCTATAAATTCCCTTTGTCATGGGGTTTTGTCACAGCAATAGAAAAGTAAGATATGACTCTTGTCTCATTCACATTCACTCTCATTCTCTACTTTTTTGAGACATGTATGATTATGTTGGCCACGCTGGCTTCAAACTTGAAGTCCTCTGCCTCAGCTTCCAGAGTGGCTAGGATTATGTACACATGCAATACCGTATCTAGCTGTTCTCTATTTCTTTCAAAAATATTTCATATGCGTGCTTGTGTATGTGTATGATGTAGGTGTGTGAATACGTGTATGCTAAGTATTTGTGTAAGTGTGGGCACATCTGTGTGAAGGTCTGAGGACAACCAAGACTATCAGTCCTAACCTTTGACCTTGTGAATGCTAGTGAGATGATTCCGTGGGCAAAGCGCTGCCACACAGGGCTCAGGACCTCACCTCAGATTCCTAGAACATGCTTAAAGCCAGATATAGTAGCACACATCTGGAAGGTGGAAATGGGAGACTCCCCGGAAGCTCATGTACTATCTGGCCTGGTGTATGTAGTGTTGAACTACAAGAGATCCTGTCTCAATAAGGCAGAGAGTAACACACCAGAACACCCAGAATTCTCCTTTGGCTTCTGAACATGTGCACAAGAACACACATTTGTACATATACCACACACACATACACATGCACACTTAAAAAACTGTGAGGATGGACTAGGTGTAATAGAGCATTCTGAGGCAGAGGCAGATGAATCTCTGTGAGTTTGGGGCCAGCCAGAGCTACAGAGACCTTGTCTCAAAACAAAACCCAAAATAACAACAAAACAAGCAAGCAAGCAAACAAAAAGAAAACAAAAATTTGTGACTGTAAAAATGAAGATACTTTCAGTTGTAAAAACTCACACAAAGGTTACGTTTTTTTCCTCAAAATCCTCTGAGGGAAAAAGTTCCAGCAAAAGGAAGAAATACATGAATGATGGCATGGGACTTGTAGACACACTTTTAAGAGAAGAAGAAAGCACAAGAAATTCCTAAGATCACTGTGTTGGTTTAAAGGAGAATGGCCCCACAGGCTCACATATTTGAATCCTTGGTCCCTCTGGTGGCACTGCTTGAAGGGATAAGGAGGTGTGGCCTTGCTGAAGGAAGTGTGTCACTAGTAGACTTTGAGGTTTCCAAAGTCCATGCCACTTCCAGGTAGCGCTCTCTCTCTTGTCATGCTTGCGGACCAAAAGCAAGCTCTTAGCTTAGTGCCAGGCCTACCTCTTTGCCTTTGCCATGATGGTTATGGATTTTAACCTGGAACTATGATTCCCAAATTAAATGCTTTCTTTTGTAAGTTGCATTTTTTCATGGTGCTTTGTCATGGCAATAGAAAAGTAAGACAATGACAGTTAGACAGCAGGCCTTAGAGACTAGAATATTTAAGTACAGGAGGCTAGAACATTCTAGAGTGAGGGGCTCCAAGAGAGAGTAAAGCTAAGAGACAACTATCATGAGAAATCTTTGTTTTGTCAGATTACAGATATAAATCTGAGGTAGACTTATAGGGAGAAAAACAAGAAGCAAATGCAAAGGAAAAATATTACATTTAGGATAATCAAAAGGTGACCCTCTAAAAAGTAGCAAGTAGTAGCATTAGCTGAGTGATTAAGTCAATTCAGTATTTTTATGATTGGACAAAGCATTGTGATATAACTATTAAATGAATGGAAGGGAATTTTGTGTATCTGGTGTGTGTATGTGAGAGAGAGATAGAGAGAGAGAGAGAGAAAGAAAGAAAATAAATGATTGAGTAAGGTAGTGTACAAAACACCAAAAACAAAAAACCAAAAACCCCGAGTTGGCTGTGGCATGGTGGCACACACCTTAATTCCAGGGGGCAAAGGCAGGAGGATCTATGCTTTCGAGACCAGCCTCTTCTACACAGAATTCCAGGACAGCCAGGACTACTATAGAGAGAGACCCTGTCATATCACACACACACACACACACACATACACACACACACACACACACACACACACACACACACACTGAAAACTGAGTTGGAAAATCAAGAATCAGTGTAAATGTGAAGAAGTAAAACACTAGAGCAATTTTTGTTGGGGGAAGGATGTGGAGAAGTGAGGTCAGTTCTTGCTGTTTCTCTTATGAGCACCATAACAACTTGTCTTTATCAATCATTTCCACATAGTATTCTCAGAAAATGAAACCATCAATAATAAAACTATAAAAATAAGAGAAAAAAAATAAGAGAACCCCAGGTGTTTAAAAGTAAAACTCACCTTTGACTATGGGTAATCACAGTTATCTCTTGAATAAGACAGAGCACATATGTAGCTCCCAGCAGTGACCATTACCGAGTCCAAACCTCTCCACACGGAGAGCCAAATCACACAAACCAAGTGTTTTATCATATTAAATTAACTTTACATCACTGCGAGTGACATGCAGCTTGCAGGAATATATACGAAGTAAATTGGAATTAAGGGCTGTTTCAGAGGAGTCAGTACAGTTAGCAGGAGAGAAATTACCTGAAGAAAGTCACGAAGAACTGTACCAGGTCCATAAAATTGCTGTGCTGGGAGAAGGCAATCTGCGGCAGAAAACAGAAAATATGGGCTACAAAGCGGCACCGCTGACTCAGCCTCCGCTGCTTGTTAACAAAATGGTCTCAGCTACAGACTGCAGCCTGACAACCAATAGGTTATTATTTCTATCTTACTTTTCTATAAATTAACAGTTTTTAGTACTAAAAATATAAATAATTCCTAATGTATTTGAAGCAAGGACTGAAAGAGGCAATATTATTTTGTGGAGAAGAAAAACACTATAATTTAAACTACGGCATACTGTTCCCTAAACCACTGGCTGTGTGCTGGGTGTATCTGCTGTGTGTCTCAGGGCTAATATGATAACTGTAACCTCGTCATCACTAGTCGCTAACACCTATTACTGGCCTGCTGTCACCTGCTTCAATAAACCAGCGCCTTCACTGGGAAGACAATGGTGCAGCTGTGATCCTTTATGTTTGGGAATGACAGGCATGGTGGCACATGCCTGTTTATGTAGAAAGTTCCAAGCCAGCCAGGATTACACAGTGAGACCCTATCTTAAGAAACAAAACAAAACAGATGCTTGCGACTACTAAGTTTCAGATTTCAGGGTTCTTTGGGGATATTTGCCTAGACTTGTTAGCAGCTGAATATCCCTATTCTGAAAATTTGAAATTCACATAGTTGAATTTTAGTTGACAGAGCTCACTGCCTCAGCCTCCCAGTGTTGAAATTACAGCTTCCCATCATTATGCCTGCCTGTCAAACCTGAAACTTCTGAGCATTACCTTCAGACTAGGGGTGTTCAGCTTCTGCTCAAATGAAGCAATTACTCTGGAGATGGTAACTGTTTCACTACAGACACTATTATGGTAACAGCTGGGAAATTGAGACAGTAAAATGGTTGGCTCAGCAGGTAAGATGGAACCCATGGTAGAGACCTGGGATCCAGTGACCCCTGTCCCTTCCAACGTACACATCAGAAACACACATGCATATAAAATAATAACAAATTAACAAATCAAGAATTCAATGATTAGCATCTTATTTTCCTAAATTTATTTGCCCCACCCTTTTATCTGCAGTTCTGAGGATCATTCAGTTCCACACAAGCTAAGCAGGTGCTCTACCACCGAGATACACCTAAGGCCTCTTACTCTTTTTATAGCTAAACTCATAATTAGATAGAAGGAAGACTTCTGCCCTGTTCCTTGCATTCCATAAGTAAGATATTTTGAGGCATGGAATCTGAAGTTTCTGTGTCTTTTCTCTATGACTTACACTCTGAAATGCAGACTAACAGATTTGGGGTTTTGTTTTGTTCTTTCACCATGTAGACTAGATTGGCCTTGAACAAACAGAGATTCTCCTGCTTCTGCCTTTCACATGCTGCAGTTAAAGGTATGCATTGCCACCACGCATGGCTTTGATTTGACTTCTAATAGTAGCTTTTCTTAGGGATGAAGGGATGGCTCAGTGGTTAAGGGAACTTCACGATCTTGTAGAGGACCTACGTTCATTCCCAACACCCAAATGGCAGATCACAACCATCTGTAACTCCAGTTCCAGGATCCAATGTCCTCTTCTGACCTTGTTCCATACATGTGGTACATCTGTATACATACAGGCAAAACACTCATAAAATACAATGAATAACTCTAATAAGTAAAAAAAAATAGCTTTTCTTTAGTGTTTACATTTAAAAAAATCCATAAGGTACTTTTACTAACTGCTGGGTGCCAAAAGCTGCAGAAGCTAATGGTGCTTTCTGAGGATCCGTCAGGCCCTGCTCTGCCTGGGGTCATGTAATACTTCTCAGGGCTTCTTTCTCAATGTGGAGATCTCAATTAAGGCCTGATTTTTTGGCAAAGCAGAACCATACCAATTAATGTCCTATATTTAATAATAAAGAGCCGGCATAAACTAGAGTAGCTGGCTGAGATCCCCTAGGAGGTCCTTTTTTGTTGAAACTGATCACCTAAAGTTTCCATAAGCACAAGGAAAGTAAGGAAAGCAAAAGTCACATCATGTTTCTGAATATACTGACTACACAGAAACATTTATCTTTGCTAAACGCCTGCCCATTGTGCCAGTCTTTGTTGGTCAATCTTGAACTTAAGGCTCCAACTGAGAACATCTGAGAATGAGAGGTGCTATTAAAAACCAGGCTGCTTAATCTTTTTTCCCCCTTCTCTCTGTTTTCCTCTGCCCTCTCCTTTCCCTTCCTTCCTTCTCTTTTTTCGTCTCTCTCTCCCTCCCCACCCCCACCCCTTTTCTTTCCTCCCATTCTCTTTTCTTGGCAGAGATTGAACCCAGGGCTTTGCACACACTAGGAAGGCAACTACTCTACCACCCTTGTGTTTGGAATGAGATGTTCCCTGTAGTCTCAGGCACTTGAATACTTGGTTCTCCCATTGGTGGTGCTGTTTGGGGAGGTTTAGGACCTTGTGGAGGAAGTACATCATTAGGAGAGTAGGCTCTAACATTAAAAAGCCTCCACTCTTTCTAGTCTGTTCTTTCTGCTTTGTGCTTGATCCCTCAGCTTCCTGCTCCTGCAGCCATGCTTACCACTTGCTGCCATTCCTTCCTTGTGAGGAAAGACTCTATCTCTCTGGAACAATAAGCTCAAATAAACTTTTATTAGCTGTCTTTTTTTATTTGTTTGTTTTTTTGTTTTTTATATGAGCTGTCTTGGTCATGGTGTTTTATCACAGCAATAGAAAAGTAACTAACACAACCACCAAGCTTCATCACATGAATTTGGTTTCAAACATAAAGTAGGTCATTTTGGAGGAAGGTAGGGGCACCTACCCTTCCAAGAAGCTATTGGCACTTAAAGGTTACTGGGGAAGAGGGAGACATTTTCTTACTGAAGTCACTACTGGTAAGCTGCCCATATTCTGGTAATAGTTCTTCTATCCACACTCAGGGAAGCAACCCCAATGAAATCCAGTGGGTCATTAAAACACCAAACAAATGCAGAAGGTCAGAAGGAATTCAGCAGAGAGGCAGAGAACAAAAGGAGATAACTGAACAAAATATATATCATATACAAGTATAAATTTGTCAAATAATTAGTTTTTTAAAATCTTCTGAATTTGGGGGCTTTTCTGAGAGGGAAAGTAATCAGAACTTTCTATATTGAAAATAATTTCATAGGGATTTATGTAGCTCAGGAGGGTCTTGAATTCATTATGTAGCAAGAATAACCTTGGACTTCTACCTCTACTTCTATCCTGCCTCTACTCTTTCACCTTCTCCCTCCCCTATTCTCTCTTCTTCCCTCTCATTTCCCTTCCTCCCTTTTCCCTAATATGTTATTGCACCCCACTGCTAAAGTCTATTTTAATAGAAGAAAGTCTCATTGTAATTTAGTGATAAAACTTCTGCATGCCAGGGAGATAGTTGTCTACAAAGTGCTTGCCAGGCAGTATGAGGACCCAAGTATGATCCCCAGGACCCACACAGAGAGCTGAGCCTGGTGGTACAGTAACCCCACTGCTGGGGCTGTAGAGACAGGATGGATCCTTGGGGGTTGTTGACCATCCCGTCTAGCCAATGCAATGAGCCCCATGGCCCAGAAATATAATGGATGGCACCTGAAGTAGACCTATGGCCTCCACATGTGTGCACACGGGTACATATAACTCCTGTACACACACACACACAAACACCTCTAAAAAATTAAAAACGACAAACTTATCATCTTATTTCCTATTCAGCAGAAAGTAGTTACCTATACATATTCCCAGAAATCTAAAGTTTATGACCCTACATTTCTACAACCGTATTCCAACTCACTTTCATCAAATGTTTGATTAAGAAGTATCTGTCCTGAAAACCCTCTGGATGATGCAAATAAATGCTAGAAACTTGGCTAGGCCTAGGCTTGGGGAGAGACATCATGGACTTGGAATTCTGGAGCAGTAAGTCTGCCCTTCACTCAAAGTACTTGTAAGTGGCTGTACTACTGTCCTCAATACTAGACAGTCAGCAGAGTGTCCCTGCCTTCCTGAAGCCAGGTCCTTCTCTTTCGGGCCGTACAACCTTCTTGTGGAATGTACACAATTTACCCTTGTTCATTAAAATGCTGATTTCTCTGTCCCACTACCTGGTTTCAATCCGGACATTGTATTATGATGCTTATTTTAAGTGTCACCTCTCTCAAGTTTGTGTAAACATGCCACCATTTGTTCTCTGTATTTTCAATAAAACAACCAGCCAATGCGGAGCAATGGAGAGAATAGGGTGGGACATCCTGGTCCGGAGGGCAGGAGAAAGAAGCAATCGAGTTGGAGGATTCAGAGAGGAGGGATCGGCAGGAGAGGACTTGGAACCACTAGGAGAGATGAACAGACCTAAGATATGACTAAAAGCAAATATGGTAAATCTGAATGGATGAAAACTATGCGAGCTTGGAGGTTTAGGAGGGAGTAACTATTGCCCAGGATTGTGCTCTAGGTTAATTAAATATATCCTAGTCCCTGTGTGGTGGTTTGGGTATAGAGCTGGTTTAGGAATAACCACTATTTAATTAAAAGATAAATCAATAATCATTATTAATAACCTGGAACACCCCTCCCCTCATTTTTCCAGCACTGGGAATGGCTCATGCGCGTCCTCACACTCTCACAGTCATATGTAGGCCAGACTCCTATACCCAAAGCTAAAGTCCTCTGCTGCTGCTGTCCACAGGCCTCAGAAATTAAAGTTCTGGAAATGATCCCTTTGCCTGCTCCTTTCTCTGAACAATGTAATGCCGACAGCAGTTAAGGAAGTGTACTGGAAAACAAAACAAATAAAACTGTCTCGATGAAAACCAAGCCCTGCCCCTTCATTTGGACATAACGCTGTAGAGGTTTAGGCAATGAGTGGAAAGGCTGTGACAGTGAATACGCAGTACTCTGAAGCACACCTGGAGCCAGGGCCTGTTCCCAAAGACAAGGACATGGAGTATACAGTGGATGCTTTATTAAAGGTGCCTGGGAATATGGGATGTCAGCACTATGGACTTGTGGGGAGGTTGGAGCCTCTCTGATTA